GCGGCGGCAGGCCTCAGCGCGCGGGGCTGCTAGTCACGGAGGTGCGTTGTGCCGATAAAGGGGAGCGGGGGGTAACGGCATCGGTAACCTTCCTCCCCACACCCCCCACCCCCCGCGTGTGTCTGCCTGTGGGGAGGAGGGGCTGCTGCGGGGCGGGCCCGGCTGAAGGAGGCTCTCTGTGGAGCCGGGGCTTCCTCGGAGCACGTTACGGCTGAAGCGGTCGCGGTTTCGTGTTTTACTGCTTGGTGAGACTAGTCCTGTGTCCTTCGAGCGTGTTGTAGTGTTGGGTTTATAGCCGGGGGCGGGGGGACGCCACTGGTGTTTTGTACTTTTAATTGCTTGCGGATGTCCGGGAGGGACCTTGCTTATTCTCTTTGCAGCAGTCTTGTTTGCCTTGGTGTAAAATCTAGCTTTGATTCTAAAGTCTAACCTCAGTTACCTTCGTGAAGGATGTTTTCTGCCTGCCACAGTGGGACAGTGTAGTAGCTGGTTGTTGGCCTTTCTGTTTTCGTGGGTTTTTAGTGAAGAGGTTTTTCTGCTGTTTTGCAACGTGTGAGATAACAGGAAAGCATACATACCTGTTTCAGTTCTACAACTATAGTCAGGAAACCTTAACTTAACAGTGTTGCAGACTTAAGATTTGGCGTAACGTGTACTGGCAGTGGTTCTTCTGACAAGGTTACAGGAGAACCTTGCAGTTGCATGGCCATCTTCCGTTTTGTCAAACAGAGCCTGAATTGCAGCTTTCCCTTGTATTGCGACATTTTCAATAAAAAACTAATAACCAAACAAAAAAACCCTCAACCTGTCACTTTGCCATAGTGCCACCTGGTCTGCCAAGACTGACAGTCGGCTCTGTTCCAGGATCCTCTCTCAGCAGGATCTAGATTGAACTTCCCTGGGTGCGCAACAGCAACTGGCGGCTGCTGGACACTGGGCTGTAGGTCTGGGTTTCATTTTTTTGGGTCTGGTCTTGGACTTTCTGATGCTAAAGGCAGAATTATTTTTTGCTTTGGTCTTGATTTCCCGTCAGTGTTCCCCTGTACAATGATGATTTTTATGTGGGTTTCTGTCTCAGTATATGTAATATCAGGAAGCTGCTGATGACATTGTGTACCCTAGTCACTGTCCCTTGTTAGAGTGGCACTTTATTTCTTTAACTAAGCCTTTAATTTTCGTATTTCAAAACTCCAGCAAATTTCTTGGAAAGGAAAGATGTTTGCATCTTGTCTTGTGCTGTTTAAAGTTATACCTTGGATAGTTTCACTTCACGTAGTTTCACTTTTGTTTCTTTCTCGTTAAAGTTTTGTTTTTTGGAAGGGATCCCTCCTTTGGTGCTGCCTAACCAGTGAGTCCTTTAAATACGCTCCAGCAGTGGTCACGCAGAACTGACAAACTTAAACTGAAGGAGGGAAGATGATGTCCTTGGATGGACCACGGAAGACAATCAGTAACCCGGTAACTCCCCTATCACGTCAACAACTTCTTCCTTGGGAAATGGGACTCTGCTGTTTTATGTTGATAGTTAGGACTCGTACTGTTTTGCACGGTGAGGGATGTTACCGAGAACTTGTTGTATCTATCACTCAGGCATTTGAGGGAGAGTGTCACAGGTGACACTGGGAGCTGGTGGTGTTCAGAAATTGTGCTGTAAGCAAATGGACGCTCCCACAACAGGACGAAGTTCTGTCGGCCTTGGAGGGTCCTCCTTTTTCATACAGCTTATATGGATGTCTGGCACTTTTGCAGAATGTGCTGGATCAAAGGTGAAAATATGATAAGCAGTGTTTTCACTCCTGATTCTCTGTAAACACGAGTGGTGCCTGGCAGCCCTTGTGAAATGTTTTTTTTCTGTTGTGCTTGTACCTTCAGTCTGAGCAATTAAACTTGGAATCTTTTTCAATAGTTGATATCTTACCCTACAATAAATCCTGTTTTGTAGGAAAGACTTGACCTAACGTGATTCAGCAATTGCAGAGAGCGGGTTTGGCAGAATGTTGTTTGCCTAGCTTAGAGTCTGGAGACTTTCTCAGAAAAACTCTAGTATTCTCATGATCTGGGGCAGCGGCCTGACACTGGCATGCGGCTAAAGGGGTGGGCTGGAGCTGTGTTTTTTGTTGTATCTTTAAAAAGGTGGTTCCTTTGAGTTTGCAGAAAATAGTATTTTTAACATTCTGTGCTAGAACTCTTTAAAAATATTAAAGTCTGTAGAGTATCTATGTGGATTGTACAGTAGCGCAGATCTGCACAGGACTTCCTTATCAGTTGCGACTTTGCACTGATACACACCTGTGCCCTCAGTGAATCTGATTGTTCAATCGCACTATATGGTCACTGCTTGCAAAGTGGATAGAGTTAGGGATGATGGGGGAATAGCTTCAGCTTTCTTCACCAGAAAGAACCCAGCTGGGAGAGGAAGGAAAGCAGTGTGGAGATTAACTAGAAGGTGGAAGGACTGAACTGTAAAAGGAGAAGGAGGATGAAAGTTGGTAGGTGGGGATTTTGGTGGGAGAGGAGGTGTGAAGAGGAGGATTAGGAGGTGTTTAGGACAAATAATCTGTGTAAGGGAGAGAGTAAGAGTTCTGCAAAACTGGGTGGCTGCAAGGGGACTGATGGGTATGATGGGTGACAAAACCAGGCTGGAGAATATAAAGGGGTAAACTAGGGCTTAGGCATCAAGAGCCTAAGGTGGGAATACGAGTGAGTATTTGGGGTTGGAATATGGAGGCAGAGTTAGGAAAGATTGTGCCGATGACCTCAGGACAGCCTCCAGACAAGGCCATGAGCAACCTGCTCTATCTGACATTGCTTTGATCAAGGCATTGGGCTAGAGACACCAGAGGTGTCTTCCAACCTCAGCCCTTCTGTGATTCTATCACCTGCATGGAGGAGGGCAGGCTATGAAGATTTCACTGTTTCAGTGAATTGTTCCATGAGCAATAAAACTTAAGAGCTTTATTACAGGTTTGAGTCTGAGATGTTGTCCTGGTTTTGGCTGGGATAGAGTTACTTTTCTTTCTAGTAGCTGGTATAGTGTTATATCTTGGATTTAGTATGAGAAGAATGTTGATAACACACTGATGTTTTCAGTTGTTGCTAAGTAGTGTTTACACTAAGTCAAGGAGTTTTCAGCTTCCCATGCCCAGCCAGCAAGAAGGCTGGAGGGGCACAAGAAGTTGGGAGGGGACACAGCCGGGACAGCTGACCCAAACTGGCCAAAGGGGTATTCCACACCATGTGATGTCATGCCCAGTATATAAACTGGGGGTGTTGGTTGGGTAGGGGGGGTGGATCGCTGCTTGGGAACTAACTGGGCGTTGGTCGGTGAGTGGTGAGCAATTGCATTGTGCATCACTTGTTTTGGATATTCCAATTCTGTAATTTTTATTATGGTCATTTTATTATTGTTATAATTATTATTTTCTTACTTTCTGTCCTATTAAACTGTTCTTATCTCAACCCACAAGTTTTACTTTTTTTTTCCCTGATTCTCTCCCCCATCCCACTGCAGGGCGGGGGGGAGTGAGTGAGCGGCTGTGTGGTGCTTAGTTGCTGGCTGGGGTTAAACCACGACAGATGTATTTCTTCATTACTGTACTGTTCTGAATCATCCAGAAAATCCTGCTTCCCTCTTCATGCCCTTTACTCCACTCATCTCGCAAGAAATATTGTCATGCCCCACCTGATGGGGCAGCTGTCCGCTACCCAGCAAGCTGGATGAAAGCTGTGTTATCACAGTCCTTTCCTCTACAAGACTGTAATCTGTCCTCTTGTTTTATGAAAACTAGCAGATATTAGAAAGAACTTGGATCTTTGAGACCTCTCAAATTCAATTGATGTTGATCAGTTGGCTTCAGAGGTAATTTTTGGAGGTCTGGAAGAGAGACGGGATGCTTGTAGATCATGTGATGTCACAAGCATGAGTCTTAATAAATGAGGAAAAATTAGTAGAAGAATGTCTTGAGATGTGAGGAAATTATAGGCACATTCTGTGATGACAAAACCTCATTAAGGCTGTAGTATTGCACCCAGGAAATGCTCTATTATGGCCTTGCAGATTCCATGTCTGAGCCTTTGAAGAGTTGATCTCAGAAGGCCAACCTTCTTTTCTCTTAAATAAATGCATCCTTTTGAATGTAAAGAAGTGTTTTTTGCCACAGCTTCTCTTCTGGGGTAAATAACGTTGATCCACTAGAGTGGTTAAGTCCCAGCGTCCCTGGTCTGTGTCTGTATGTTTCTCTGGTTTATCTTTGGAGACCAAACCGGTGATTTATTACTCTACTGCATTACTCAGAGCTACTACCCCTTAGGAGCAGTGTGTTAAAACTAAAATAATCAAGATACATTTTTTCTTATCTATTATTACTGTTCTTATTCTTTGAATAAAAATAAACCTCTTGTGTACAGCTTGTATATTAAGGAACCAAGCTACTACCAGTAAGCAAAGGGATTTCAGCCTATATATTCTTTCACTTTTAACACTTAATTTCACATTTTGGTCCTCCTCTACTGCAACTGCTTAAGCCAATAAAAATATATGAGACTTAAAACAACTCGACCATTTGTGAGCTTATGCTTGAGAAGCAAGTTCTTTAAGTCTGTTTTGCCTGATGTAGAAGATGACTGCAAATCAGGTTTTGTGCAATGTGTGGGTAGCTGAGAAGGGAAGTGGAAAGAGGGCAGAAAAGGATGTGTATCTACTGGCAGAAATGATCAACACTGTGGATTTAGACAATTTTGGCTGTCATTCCCCCTTCCCTCCTCACAAATTCACAAGGTGTTAGCAAACACATCCCCTTTTTACATCTTCCTGTTTTGCATGATGATACATATATATTTAAAAAATAAAAATCTTAGCTTGTTCTTTTATGGTCCATTATTCCATTCAAGAGTTGTATTTCCAGTCTGTTCATTTTTTGTTGTTAAATTACTGGAACTCTTGTTTGCAATTGATGTTTCATTTCAAAGGTGTCCTAAAATCTTATATGCAGTTCCATAGATCAGGGATTTTTTTGGGGAAAAAAACAACAACAAAAGAACCTTGGCAGAAATTTTTGTCTGTTAACCAGAGCAAATGTTGCATTTGCTACCATTTACTTACTTTTTCAGTCTAAAGCACATGTGATCAGATGCAGACTTATAGCTTTGCTTTCAGATCAGTCTCCTGTAAACTTCCACAGTTTTCTGTTAAGGTGCTCCCCTTCTCTCCCTGAAATGCTGGGTGTACCAGCTGATGGTCAGGGTAGGTCTTCTGTCAGCATATCTGAGCCTTTGCCAGAGTGCTGTGCTGGGGTGTTTGGGGCTTTTGTTTTAACTGACATGTCCTTATATAGTTTAACAACTCCTACCCTGTTGCCATTTCAGTTTAGCATACCATGCATGTGTTATCTTCTCTAGCTATTGATATGGAAGAAAAAATGGGCAGGCTTTGAGCCAGACTGCATACCATAGATACCATGAAGACCAAGAAGACTGAACAGGGCTATTTCAGTGCACCTTGCAGTTCTTAGCTCATTAGGATAAAGTATTTTGTGGCTTTTGTTGTGTAGTTTTTACTAACAAGACACTCTGTGACATAGTCTCTTCCCATCACTGTTTTCCAAAATGGAGCAAGAAGAAGCAAAAAGGCAGCTGCTGTGATCTGGGGTTAGAAGGGTTGTGGAAGGTGCCTCCTGCTACCAGCAGAGGGCTGATAATAGTCAGCCCTTGGCAATGACCTAATTTGAAATGAATCTTCTTTATACTCTATTAAAAGTGAGACAATAAAATATTACCACTCCTTGAGAGATAGGAATGGAGGCTGGAAATTTCAGTATCAATTTTGTCTGAGAAGCTTGGTTTTCATAGGTGAAAATCTGCTGGGTTTTTTCTTTTCATTGTGCTGGGTATTTAGTGCTTTTCTACTCTTTTGTTTAAATGGAATGTTAGCTGTGTTTCTTTTAATGTGCTAGAGCACCACATAATTAAGTATTAGAATGTTATTTTTAGAACTATTGTGGGCTTTTTTGCCTCAATCACAAAATGTTATTTGAATCTTCTTTTTCTTCTTTTTTTTTTTCCCCCTCTTCTAGATTATTCCATATGTTGGCACAATACTTGGTGGCCTTGTACCTGGAGAGCTGATTATGATACATGGGACTGTTCCTGATGATGCAGACAGGTAGTGGCTACCGTGTCACTTTTTGCAGTGTCACCATGTGAACAAGAATGTAATGGATAAAATGTTTCCAGGGGTCCTGCTTAAGATGGCACATAAAGGCTTGATCTAAATCCTTGTGATAGTGTCAGAGTGAAGACAGGCTTAAGTGGTTAATGAAAGCTTTGTGATGAGCAGCGGAGGATGAATGGATTTTTTGCTTTCTGCGGATCCTTTCTTCTTGCTTTTTGCTTTGCCTGCTTTGGCAATTTTTTTCCCCTGTCATGGCATAAGTCTGCTTGTCTAAAGAGGTTATCTGAGACTAACAAAATTGATAACTGAATGTGTTGCATGAAGGAATTAACTTAGACAGGGATAAGGAGGTATGAACTAGTGCATATGCCCAGTATGGGGGTTCTGTTCCCTGACTGCCCAAGATTCATTTGGTTGTTCTACTGAAGATGCTGGGAAGGAAGGTGGTGAACACAGTAGGTGAGGAGCTTGTATGATATGAATGATGACCATTAAATAAATACTTAAATATTTTAATTCATTGCAATAAGTCATGGAAGAACCTTTCACAAATGTATAGGAGTTGGACAAATATGTGTTTGGTTTTTTTTCCTTATCCAACAACACTCATTGTGTCTGCCTGTTCTGAGGCTCCACAGTAAAACACAAGTGTATCAAACTTTTAGGTGATTTCTTAACAGACTGAGCTGAATGTGGTTTGTCTTATTTTTATGATTAGGTTCCAGGTGGATTTACAGTGTGGCAGCAGCACAAAGCCTCGAGCTGATGTGGCGTTTCATTTCAACCCCCGCTTCAAAAGGTCTGGCTGCATTGTTTGCAACACACTGGAGAGGGAAAAATGGGGCTGGGAGGAGATCACTTACGAGATGCCCTTTCAAAAAGGGAAGTCATTTGAGATTGTCATCATGATTTTAAAGGATAAATTCCAGGTGAGTCTGAGTTGATTTGATTCTTTATCTGTAGCCAGTTGTCAGGCCAATAAAAGAGAGATATTTTGTATACTTAGAATAAATAGTTGGAAGCTTTGGTTTCTGTGTTACCTAAGTATAGTCTAACTACAGAAAAGTTTAGAAGTTTTCTTTAAAGAAGTGCTAAGTAAATCAGACCTTTAATTTTGTATTGCCATCCTCTAAGTTGGATGAGTAGGCAAGTAACTTCCTGCCATGGCTAATGGCTACTCCACCCTTCCCTTCTTAAGTACAATGGGCTGACCTTAGGGTGAACCTGTTGTGTGACTAGTGTAGGACAGTCCTCTTGGAGGAAACATGTGAGGTGTGTTTGTCTTGCTCTGTTAGACTGCAATAATAGATTCTATTAGATTGGTAATGCCACACTGGTAAATGATCAGGTGATAGAAGCAAAAGGTGTGGAATGTGAATTTTATTGTAGGCAAATAAATCTCCCTTGTAGTGATGGAAAGAGACTGGATCATGGATGAGCTGAACTTAGTTGCTCTGAAATTGCTAGGACGCTCCCTGCATCTGTACTAAAGCAGTGTGAACCAGAGACACAGGCATACAATTTGATACACGGCTGGTGTAGTGTATGTTTAATACAATTTTCCTATTTTGTTCCCTGTCTCTTTAGGTGGCTGTAAACAAGAAGCACTTGCTGCTCTACAACCACAGAATTAGCCTTGGAAGAATAGATACTCTTGGAATATATGGCAAAGTGCAGATCAAAACAATAGATTTTGTTTCTGTTGTAAGTTATATAGACAGCTAACTTGTTCAATTCCTTTTCTCTGTCTTAATAAAATACAGAGTAGGATTTATGGTGAAAAGGAAGTAAAGAAAAGCAGCTACACAGCCTAACCTCAGTAACAAGATTTTTTTCCCCACATTTCAATATGCGAGTCTCATGTGAGGATCTCTGTGTTTTATTCTTCAGGTTATGGGCAAAAGGGTGACAAAGTTTACAGCTTACAAAATTAACAGGATAAATGATATAAGAATTGATTGGATACTGGATCTAGGAATGGATTAGACTTTTTCAAATATTGTAGGAGCTCCAAACTGAACTCTCAGTATTCCATGCTTCTAAGTGACAAGTTCAACTACAGCTGTAACTTGTTGCTTGGCTTCCAAATGGCAAGTTCAGCCACAGCTACAACAGCAAAACCCTGTTTTTCCTGCTAAAATGACTGAATTGTTGAATGAAGTGATAAGTAGAAGTACATTTATTTCTGAGGGGTGAGAAGAGGTGTCCTTTCTTGAAGACTTTGTGGCTTGACTTGCACTTGGAGCAAACTGCAGTGAATTTAAGGCAGTGCTGTGCTCCCTCTCAGCTGCCAGCTCTGCTAGAGAAAGTAGACCAACAGGGAGGAGTTGAACAATGTTTTGCCCTGTACAGACAGAGAGATCCTTCTGCTCTGAGAGGGTAGGACTTTTAGAGCAGAAACAGAAGGTGATAAATTCCAGGGAGATACAGAAGTTGAATGCCTTTTCCTTTCTTCCTGCCACTCACTAAAGCAGCCGACCTACTCTGATATAAGATTCTGGGTCTCTTCTGCCCCATCCTCGCTACACTGGGCAGAACTTGGGTCTCTTGCTGCCAAAGGTCAGGTCTAACTCAGGTCAGCAGAGTAATTACTGTGTTGATAGAAGGTGGAGGTTTGGGCCTGAACGAAATGGGGTCTAAGCTTTTAAGAACACATCTAGTCACTGATCATTTGCAAAGCCTATGGACAGACTTTTATGGGCCCCATCACTTGGCCTTGGACATGTTGCCAGAATAGCGTTACTTCCGAGCTGTCTGAGTCCTGGTCTTGGAGGACTGACTCCGAGAAGAGCTTGGGGGCAGGCAGGTGCTGTAGGTTGTTTTCTGTCCCAAACACAAACCAGAACAGAGTTGCTTTAGTCTGTGGCTGCTGGTGCTGTATCTTTTGGGGAAGAAAGGCATGGAGAAGGGCGATTGTTTTCTTTTTGTCTTTGCTTCTAATATACTTTTCTGAGGAGGAAGATGGAGGCTGGTATTGAAATAAACAAGCTGGAGACACAATCTGCCAGGGCTAGGCTGGAACTATATCTCTGCATGGCCATGTTGCTCATCTGTCCTTCCCCTGAGAAGGGACAGGGATGCAGGGGACTGCTTAGAATCCCAAGGCCCTCTGTGTGGCTATCTTTTTCTTTACCATAGCCCTAGATTTCCATGTTAACTGTTCACCCTTCAAAGCAGCGCAGATTCTTACATGGTTCTAAACCAACTTTATGTTCTATGATGTTAGCAATGACACCTAAATTTCTCTCTTTCTGCAGTCTTTACAAGGGTCTCAGCTATCATCTCTAGGAGTAACAAAGATAAACACAGAAAATGTATGTATGTTTGTAAAAGCTTGAATGAATCTCCCTGTTGTCCGATAAGCTGGTTAATGCTGTTTGTTTTCTCTTGTAGGGGGAAATGCCAGATGGTTCGCAATTTGTAAGTGTCTCGTGTAGACTTGTGGCAAATGTGAAGAGTAAAAAAAATCAAAATAAAAACATCTCTGTTATTCATGAAAAAACATGCACAGAACAAGGGAATCGAGAATCTACTGGGAGATGATCATCAGCGAGGTTTTGTAGAGAGTAATCCTCTTTGCTGCTGCTAGTAAAAGTGAGGCTATTTGTTAAATCATTTAGAAAACCCAAAAGATAAACACAGCATCCACAGCCATAAACAGAGAAATAAAATTGAGTTACCTGAAGTTTTAAAGGACCAATTCACATTAAAAACTTTTTTCAAATAAGTATACTTAGTTTTCTCTGCCTTAGGGAATACCTACAAAACAAAAGTATTCCGCAGTGATATTATGCCAAATGGCCTTATGTTCATGTGTGTATCTTAGAACCTATCTGGTTACATCTTCCTCTTGCTGACAGATCCATGCTTACCCTCTGTACACTTCAGGTGGCTGGGTGCAAGCATCGCACCTTAGGGTTGGAATTTGCACCCAGCTAGCATGAAGCGTACACAGAGTGAGTGCTCATCTTTTTGCAAAAAGCTCTAGAGGTGGACAGTATCCAGGCTGGAATAAGGACCATGCTCAAACTGAAAAGGGGTTGGAAGCCAGGAGTATATACAAATAGAATATGTGGACTTCATCAGTCTTCTTTTCAAAACCAAGTAACATGCAATATTGTCATTTGCAAGTGGTGAACTTCAACAAAAAAATAAAGGCGAAGTACTTCTCTGTTCACTCCTTTTCCCTGATCAAAATAACTTCTAACAACGAAAAAAAGGCAAAATACTTGCACTATCTATCATTATGAACGCTGTGTCAGGAGGACAGAATACTCAGTGACCCTTCTTCTGGTACTTATGCAACTGTAAGACTACACACCTAGCATGAGTCTTAATTCTTTAAACCATAACTGAAGCTTTCAGAGGAGATGTTGGAATGTCTGTATCTGAATAATTATATGATATAAATTTAAATTAGTGCAGGGAGTTTTGTGCTTACTTTTTTTTTTTTTTTTTATGCTCACCTTTTTTTTCCCTTTATAGCTTTTCTCCTATAGTATTAGTATCCCAGAACATGTCGGTAGGCATAACTTTAGCTATAAGTGCAGATTAGCAATTGTAGGCCAAATTTCTTCCTGCCATAGTAACACTCAGCTTGTATATTGAAAAAAGTAAGTCACAGTCAAAATTTTTATTGGTGGTGTACTTCCAGGGAGTTCCTTATGTTGGGAAGCTTGATACTGCGCTTCGTCCAGGATGCACAGTTGCCATTAAAGGAGAAGTGAATAAAAACCCGAAGAGGTAAGTGTTACTAATTTTTTTCTGCTGTGTAACTGAGCTACTCTTGAGAATGAATAGGCTTTTATATTGCCTCAGTATATTCTTACTTGCAACTTTGCATCTGGAATAATCTGAAACTACAGTGCAGTTTTCTCAGAAACCTGCAGGATACCGCTTTGGAGAGGTCTTAAAAGAGCATCTTCATTGTGAAAAGTGAAGATAAAACCTGAGTGTCTTACCTACTAAATCTGCATCATTCAGAATGTTGTGTGTCTGTTCAGGGTTTCCATTGTGCAAGGCATGTGACCATACATATTGTACAAAGACAGCTTTTCTTCTGAAGAGGTCCAAGAGTAAGGGAACTGGCAGTAGTAGATGGAAAATGAGTGAGTTAGATGAGTTGGGGGTATGCTCAAATCCTGCCTGTTACAACGTTAATCTGAATACTTCTGAGACGGCCTTCTTGCAGACTGTATAAGCATGAAGGTGCCTAACTGATAACAACTGAGTGATGAAAGCTGGTAGGGGACTATGAGCTATAATTTTGATAGCAAATTAGGAACAACGGGTTGCAAAGCAGGCATTTATTTTCCCAACGTGATTTGAAGGGGGCGTGCAGAAAGGGGAGTGCAGCACAGTCAAAATGGAGCTGAGGAAAAGTCTGTGCTTCAGCATGCTCTTTGCTTGAAGGGTGGTTTTGGCTCTGCAGAAACATGCCTAAAAATGAAGCAATTAGTGCAAATGATAAGAAGCATGCTTTTTATGCTGTGTGAATGCATTGCACTCCTGCTTCCTCAGAGGACATGCTTTCCCTGCAGCTGAACAGCACTTGGAGTTCACGTTAGTACCGGAACCCAAGGTTTTGACATCTCATAAATAAAGTTTGAATGCACTTTAAATTGGGTAGGATAATTAATACTTAGTAGCATTTGTTTTCCTTCTTTCGGCTTGAAAAGCTTACAGCACATTTCAAGTGCTGGATGCACTGCTTATGAGTGAAGAGGCTTTTGGGTATTAGTTAAAGCATTGCAGGTTGCCTGCTGTTTGTGCTTTTAAACGTGTATAGATTTTTATAGAGTTTGTAACTCATTTAATGTCTTTCACTCAGTTCACACAGTTGTAGGTGTTCCTTTTTCTTGGTGAAAAAGAAGACTTCACACAGTTTGGAAGTGTGGCTGTTGCTGTATTTCGTAGCTGGACTAAGCAATTCTAGGCTTCTCAAAAGAGGGAAATAATCTGACAGCTGGAGCTGATTTGGGGGGAGGATTATTTCCTCAAATGCAGCGAGGTCTTTGCCACAGGTTGAAGCATTCATTTGAATTTGGATGAGTCTTCCCTCTGATCATTCTTCTTCAAAGCTCCCCTTTAGGAACCCTGTGCTGTGGACATGTCTGGAGATGGCAGAGTATTTGTTCAGCCTGGGCCAAGCTGCACTGCGTACAAAGCAACACTTTGTATGTGTGGTGTCCCACCAATCTTAAATGTAGGGAGAGAATCCTCAAACTTTTCCTTAGAGTCTAACCAGTTTGTTGGCAGAAAGAATAGGTAAAACAAAGCCTCCCACTCTCCACTGCCCGAGTTAAGAGAAAGAGATGGTGGAGCAAGTAGCACTGTCTGTTTCTGTGAGAACACTGCTTCCTAGTGCTGTAGGGGAGCAGCACTTGGCCCACTTGACTCAATACCTCCTTGCTGAGACATGAACAGAAAGGTGTGAGTGATGAAGCAGATCTAGCAGGGTCATGTCCTACATTTGCTGCCTCCAGCAAAGGTTTCTGTGCGAAGGAGACAAATGGATGTTAACTGCCTGCTTGGTCCTTCAGGTGAGTCATGGCCCTGGCTCCAGAACAGTTCTGAGTATTGGCTAAGGGCATGGTAAATAGCATGGACTACTGCATCACGTTTATAAACCCTTGGTATAATGAACTTTTAAAAAATATCTTCCAGCTTTGTGATAAATCTGAAATCAAGTGACTCAAAGGACATTGCATTACATCTGAATCCCCGAATGAAAAACAAAGTTTTTGTGAGAAACTCATACCTTCATGACAGCTGGGGAGAAGAAGAAAAGGAAGTTGCCAACTTCCCTTTCAGTCCAGGGATGTACTTTGAGGTAAGATTAACAGAAACATAGCATCAAACTGCTAATTCTGCCAAAAGGATTAGCAGTGGTGCTTAAATGTCGTATCACTAATACAGGTTTAAATAAAACTGCCATTCCTGCATGTCAATGTCTTGAGAATATTTAGGATTAAATGAGACCAAAGGGAGCAGAGATTTGACTGGGTTTTAATGACAGTTTTCTTTTTAAATAGTTGCAAGAATTCAGCCTGTGCTCAGAATGAATTTTAATTGAATTGAGTTGGACTCTATGATCCTTATTGGTCCCTTCCAACTTGAGTTATTCTATGATTCTATGAATTTTATTGAAGTTCCACTTTTTAAAATGTTTCTTTTGCATGAAGCATTCTTTGTAACAGAAGCAGGGCTTGCCCAAGTCTAGGCTAGATCATCAGGTTGTATTTCATGTCTTACCTAAGCTTAAAACTTAACTGTTTCTCTTGGTTTTCAGCTGATCATTTTCTGTGATGCCCACCAGTTCAAAGTTGCTGTTAATGGTGTTCACACTCTGGAGTACAAGCATCGTTTTAAACAACTTGAAAAGATCAATGTAGTGGAAGTCATGGGAGATGTTAAATTGTTAGATGTGAGGAGCTGGTAGTTCTTTTCAGTCACTACTAAAAGAATTAAACCTCTTCTAATGACAGTGCCTCCTTGTCAAGTACAAACAGGCGCTGACTTGCGCTGAGGCTGCCTTTATCTATCTAGGCTTCTGCATCTGCCTCTCCAAGTTAGGTGAGTACCAGAACTGCTAACTGTGAGATTAAATCCTCCTCTAGTTTACAGTATCCTGGCAAGCTAAGTAAGTCTTTGCTCAGCTAAATCTCTTAGCAATATGAAAATGCTGCATCATACGGTGTTTAACAGTTGCACTAGATATGTTTAACTACTCAGCATTTCTTGATAGCATACATTCAGTATTGTGAAGTAGAAACAAGACTGAAAGAGGATGTGAAGATATGGTTATCTACCCCAAAAGGGAAATTGATAATTCATTAAAATTATGAAATACACTCTTCTGCTTCTTAGTTTATATTAGCAACTATAACCTTTTTACTGAGGCTGGATTAAGCAAACAGTTGACCCATCAGTTCTAGCAAAAAACAAGGAGGAATTTGATCTTGCTGCTTAGCCTGCGGCTGCAGCACTACCTTCTCTGACACTCATGTCACCTCCTGCTTATAAGTGGTTTAAATCAAACATACAGCAGCACTTCTAGCTTTTAGTTTTCTGAAGTGAAACAAATGAAAATGATTTAGCTGGTTCCAATTGTGTGAACTTTTGAAAGGTTGTATGATCTGAAACAACTTCTAACCAAGTTGAGATTGCTCAGGGACTTAAGTAGATGTTTGGGGTTTTTTTTGGTTTTTTTTTTTTTTTAAAATCTGTGAACCCAGGTAGTCCAGGCAGGGTTTCAGCCAAGATGAGACTCGGATACTTATCAGTGGAATAGAGAATGGATCCTTTTTCAGTCTTGTCTTGTATTAAAATACTACCTATCTTAAACAAGCTGTTCCTATTCAATGTTTTCCATACAAATGTCAGTCTTAATTTTTATACTCATTTTTAAAAATAAGTTGCTACTGGCTGTCAATACATGCCCAAGTGATGTTCCTGTTTATCTTAAACAGCTGCTAAAAGAGTGAAGCAATTTCAAGAATAAGCTGTACCCTAAAAGACTGTTTAAGATAAATTACCAGATTTAATGTATAAAAAGCATAAATAAAAACATTTGTGAACTCTGCTTTTCTCCAAGTGTAACTAAGTAGCTATAATGCCTTTTTGGTCTATATTTTGTCTTGGTTTGCTTATTATCTTACCACTATCTCCAAGGTGGCATAGTGAGCCTGACTGGAGGACCAGTTCTACATCAAGGAGTTAGTGATCCACAGACCAGTTAACCTGAGTAGGCCTATGCCTCGGCTGCGCTGGTGTGGCCTTCAGGACAGTATTGTGCTGTACATAGCCCTTGGCCACAGGATAAACTTAGCTGGCCAATTGTAACAGAGGAGCCAGTAGGCAGCTCCCACTTGGTAATGGCAATTACACCACTTCTGTATGCTTGCCTTTATCTAAGAGTTCAGGAGGAAGTTCTGATGTGAACACCCTTTTTTTTTTTTTTGACAGCAGCAGACAAGATTAGTAGTTGTTTTAAGAAAATCTTGTAAGAGCACGAATGAGCATGATGGGGTAACCTTTCTGCGGATGGGATCTGTGTGGCATGCTGCACCCTGAATAGAGGCCTGTTCCCAGCACCTGAGGGGATGTAAGATTATCCTTTTTATAGTGTTAGCTCTAACCAGCTGCATTTTAAAACCATCATTTACAGAGTCTGAGTGCCTTTCTTGCTAGCAGTGTAATGAACCAGCATCTCCTGGTGCAAAACAGGTGGTGAGTTTTTTGGTAAATTCATTAACATAGCAAAGAATTTATTCTTGATCTTCAGGTGAATAAGAAGCTAATCAGTAGCAGTCTTTAAAGACTAAAAACCAGCTTTAGCTCCTATAAGAATCCTAGTTTTTGTAACTTCTTTTTCAGTATCTTCAGTGACTTTACTTCCCTGAAAATGACAGAAAAGCAGATTATCAGGATTGCGGTGCATGGGTCCACCAGCGAGTACCATGCTTACATTGTAGCATGACGGCCCTTCTGTGGGGACAGTAACTGCATACTCCAAGCACAGTGGAATTCAGCAAGTCTTGCATGTTGTCACTCTGTTTGTGCTCAGCTATCAGACTTCTTACAGCTTGCTCCAGTTTTGCACTGTTAAGAAAAGAGCAGTTAAGGAAAAGTCCCCTAACTATCCAGAAATGATAAAGCCAGATTCTTACAATATTTTATTAAAAAGTTAAGATCTTAGCTCTGATAAAAATTAGTATGACACAGTTTGCCTGTAACACTTGCATGTGTGAAACTAACACGATCAGACAAAATATGAAAACAAAGGGGATAAATTTAGAAGTAGCTTTGGAGTGGTTCTCCCAAAATGACTTCCAGTTGTTGAATTGTCTTTTGACATTGCTGTTCAACTTCTTCACATTCATCTAGAAGAAGAAAGCAGGAATTAAGTGGAATAGTAATTACAAAGCTACCCTAAGAATGCTTCATCACTTGTCAAGGCTAGAACTGTCTTCAAACACCAGGTATGAAATAGTCATTAAAAATATTTTGGCACTGACTCAGGACTTAGGCAAATTATTTCTGCTGTAATACTGATCTAAAACATGCAACTGGGGATATGTGCACATGTGCACTGAAGAAACAACCGTAATTTAACTGAACTTTAGGAGTGTGTTGGATACAATCCATTTCAGTTTGCATCCTGCACAGTTTAAGCTACCATATGTCAATTTGTAAGATTTATAGCAATTATAGCAATCATCCTCGATGAATCTTTGAAATAAGTGGCCCTTATTCTTTTTTGGTCATAGGCCAGTTGTCTGCCTTCACTAATGCCACTTTAGAACATTACCTTCCATGAGCTCAGCTAAGAACGGAATAGATTCTGGTAGCAGGACCAGGTAGTTCTCCTTCAGTTTCTGTGCAACTTCTACCAAAGCAAGCAGAGCAGCAAATCGGACCTAAACCAAAACAATAATCTTTTTAAGGAAATGAACATTACAGTATAGTTCCCTGTTTTCTCCCTGCTTCTGCCTTCTTTCTGTATAAGTTTGTAAACTAGCTTTCCCTACTGAAGGGAATTAGTTTTAAGCTAATTTAAACCTCAACATCTGGGTTAAGGTAATATTAAAGGAAAAACAGGTTGGAAGAAGCAGGTATGTTGCTGGAAGTTACTTGATTATAATGGTCTTTAACTTCCTGTTACAATGCCACTCTGTTCTACTGTATCAGAAGGACTTAGCTCAGTACAATGAAAAACCAGGTACTCCCCCTGAATACATACAACCTGTCAAACAGGAGAGTCTTGACAAAACTCTATATAATAAACAGGTCTGAAGGTTGACAAAAAAACCTACCTTCCACTTCCCTGTCTAAAGTGCCCCTTTCTTTCTCTTATTAGTAAGTTTCTCTTATTCCAACAGCTACCAAATCTTTAAAAAACCCAAACCACACAGTATGGAAGATATGCACATGTGGACTGTTGACTGCTTACAGTAAGAGCAGAAGGCCACGTAGTATACGTCTCTCTAGAACTTGGGAGTAGCATCGTACAATATCAGTATTTTAATTTAGGCTAGTATTTTAGCAATGACTTGGCTAATCCACTTCTGGTTTTTGAGGCACTGTTCCCATTTTCTAACGCAACAAAGAAAACCAGTTCAAATTCTCATAGTTCCCAACCTTAGGAGAAGTGTGCCTCATTTTCAGCAGGATGTGGTAGTTCAGTGGTTTCCAAAGAGAATCATCTGCCATTGCCACTGAAAACTGAGCTATGCAGGGTATCAGGTGTGCTGTCACTCTTTCCTGGAACTTCTCATCTCCTCCAAGCATATTTTCTAGCTGTGGAAGTAAAAAGCTTGTCAAACAGATCCAGGCTCAGATAAACCCAGCCAAAAGCACTTCTTCTAGCTTTGGCTTTCAGGTACTCAACAGTTATGTCAAAGAGCATCAGCGGAAGTGCACTGGTGCGCAAGAGCTCAACAACATGCATGAACCTTATGGAATGAAGATGGTTTAGAAAGAGGATAAAAAAATTAATAATTCAGTGCCTTAGGCAAAGCAGTTAATACTGTCTATAGGCCAAAGACAATGAATTAATTCCTCCCTTTTTGTTAAGGGAGAGGATTGAGGCCTGATAGTTAAAAAAAATAAATCTTTCAGATGAGAAAAAAAAAATCAGCTATGAATTGTTTTTTTGTGTTTGTCAATACCTGATCAACCAGAGGCATCATCAAGGTTTCTGCTCTTTCCTTACTGAGGAACTTCTGGGTGTCAAACAGGAAGAGCTTGTGCAGACAGTCCATGGTGAATTGCAACAGTAGACAGCTCTTTTCTGTGTTATTCTCAGAGTCAAAGAAAGCTTCATCTACATATGAGTCAAGGAGAAGGAAAAAAAAATAATCAAAAAAAAAGAAAATACAAAACTTCTCCACAAGACAGAAACGTCGTTAGTTTGTGAATATAGCTAAAGGATGTACTACATAGCAGTTATGTACTCATCAGTCAGAAGAACAAAGTGGATGCAATATGTTATCTGGCTTTTAGCTAAGGCCCTCGCAGGTCTGCCACTGCCGTTCACGGTGAGCTGGGGACAAAAGAGAATAGCCACAGGCTATAGGAAAAGTGCTTGGCCATACCTGTGGATATGGAGAATTTCTTCAGGTCACTACAAATGGGATGGGCAAATAGTTCCCCATACAAAAAAGTAATACCTATTGTTGCTAAGAAAGCAGAGGAGTCTGAATACACTGGCAGCATATAAGAGAAGTCAGTGAATGAAAAAAAAAAAAAAAAGAAAAAAGCCCCAACAGAAACAAGTCACCCTCCTTCCACACAATTTCATTCTCATGGAACTCACTGGGACTGACATTGAAAATTTTCATGTGGTCTCAACTTTGTACTGGCAGCCCAGAGCCCATGGATGAAAAATGTCCTTTGGTTCCGTCAGAATAAGAAAGATGCCTTATTTATGAGAGAAAAAGAAAGAGAGAAATGAGAGGTATGTGCTGTGAAGTAAATCCTGTAAGACTAAACTTTCAGCCATTATAATTAACCTCTTTCAGCAATTAGAGTTAGCCTGCCAGTGCCTCTCTGTAGTTCGTAATTAAAAACTTACCAGTTTTAGAAATGTTGACCTGGTTCAGTGTCTCGGCAAATGGCTTCACTAAGTGACCAGCAAACAGGTTGAAGAGACCCTTGAGCTTGTCTGCAATGCAGTCTGCTATTCGGTGGAATGTCAGCAGTCTGTCTTTTAGGGTAGACTCTGTTTTGGACCAATCAAAGAGCTGAAAGTGAAAGGCAGATTAGCTCTTTCCTGTGTCTATGCACTGGAAAATACAAAATATGCTGATGCAGATGAATTATAGTTAAATTTCTTACCTTGAAGAAGAGGGGTCTAAAAGAAGCCTCAGAAAGTTTCATAACCATACTTATTAGACAATCAATAACGTAAGCCTCTGTCTTACCAACTTCCTCTAAATCATCCTAGAAAAATGAGAAAACATAATTCCAAGTTTGAAATGTAAGAATTTGAGCTTTCAAAGCACATTTTCATTTTGTCTGTTTTAGACTAAATACCTAACCATAATGTTTTCTACACCAAGAACAATTCCAGAACAGAATATTTGATACCCAGAATTTCAGAGCACATATGCAATGGAAACCACTAATATTTTTTAAAACAACAGATAGAATTAGCATGTAGAGGTTGAGCTGCTGCTGTTCATCCCCCTAAACAAGCCACCTCGGCATGCTCTGTTCGGAAGTCCAGGGCTTTCATGAAAAATGCCGTCAGCTCAGACTGATGGGAGATCAGGTGCTCCTTCTCCATACCAACAATGTGCTCCTTCAAAATGTTCATAAGGGGACGCAGGCAGTTCTGCCAAAACAAAAGCAAAGCAATGCAAAGGCAACTGTGATATTGACAGTAACCGAGAAACATAAAGGAATTGGATTTTTGCACTTCACACATTCACTCATTAAAATATTGTCGATAAAATAAATAACCTTCTTCCTGTACTTTTTGGGGGCTTAAGTTAGTCGCATTCCTGAGAAGAGCTTGGTCTCCCCTCTCCAATACTGGAGGTACCAGTTAAGTCTGAAAGGTTGGCGCCTATGAGACAGGAGCAAAGCCCAGATGAAAATTATGACTCGTGTTCCTAGCAGATAAATCAAGGCCTTTATGAATGCGATGATCTCTCAAGCATTCATCATCTAATGCACTAAGGACATTAAACTGGTGCATTTCTCCCAAGTCAACTTTCCTGAGCCACCACTGTGGTACAAAAGAAAATAGAGATAATATAAAGACTGTGCTAGGTTTGGCTGGGATGGAGTTAATTTTCTTCATACCTGCTCAGAAGGTGGTGTTCTAGATTTGTGAACAAAACAACACTGATAACACACCAGTGTTTTAGCTATTACTGAACAGTGCTTGCACAGTGTAAGACTTTGTTTCTCACTCTGCTGCCCCAGTGAGTAGGCTGGTGGTGGGCAAGAGGTTGGGAGGGGACACAGCCGGGACAAATGAGCCACATTTTGCACTTCTTGTTTCTTTTTTTCCTTCCTTTCTTTTTAATCACAATGCAAACGAATGAAAAAAATCCTTACCTTCCGGGTATTTGCCACTTCACTGTAACACTTTGTAATTGCAGGCAAGAGTATTCGAGGAGCAAGCCTTGTAGCGAGGATAGTTTTCAATGATGTTACGCGTAAGCTTATCTGGGAAGAAGGACCAAACTCGACCACAATCTTTTCCAAGCGGACAACCTATCAGGAAATCCAACAGAAGTTAGGCATACTTAAAACAACTCAAGAACTTATTATACAGTAGTTGAATGTTGCAAGCGGCAGATGAGAATTTTGCTGTTTGCGCCACCTGGAACACCTTACAATTAAGATGTCTGTGTAGAGAGCTTCACTGTCTTCAGAAGACAAACACTGAAAAAATGCGCGTGTCAACAGCAGGGTGTTAGAATTACCCTAACTAGAGCTGTTAGGTACACATTTGATGAGATCATGGATATTACAGAATGATCCTTCAGGATTCATCTCCCTTTCCAAAGAGGCAAACTACAACCTATCGGAGGAGTAGGAGACAGCTCTTCTATTCTGTATCTTAGTTATTTGTGTAAGAAGGTGAGTAGAAGGGTAATACGTTACGACCTTCCACATGAACGGCACACATTCCTACTTGTTTGAGGGAGAAAAAACTACCTCTGTAGCTTCTTCTAGGAACTGGGCAGATCCTGTCCCCCTTTACATATCTGTAGGAGTCAGAGAGCTCACCTGCAGCAAGCAATCCAAAAGATAAGGACTAAGGAAGTGTGGTAATGTTTCTGCAACCTTCAGCAGAGCAGTGACAGCACTCAGCAAGTAAATCTCATTGGAGACCAGCTCCTTCTTATTTTTTAAAGTCTTCAACAGTGCTGGCATCAGCCTGTGAATAACCAAGCATAAATAGAGAAAGGTGAAACCACTGACCATTAGGAGGCACTTCTCCAATCACACAAATCCACCTCTTAAGCCTGCAGGGACAATTTTCACATCAATTTTTACATGTGTATTTGAGAAGACTCAGTGTTCTGGGCTCTTCTGCTGCATTTCATTTTTTCGAAGCTAATGAAGGGTATTGGGTTTAGAATCACAGAATCATAGAATGATTTGGGTCAGAAGGGATCTTTAAAGATCATCTAGTCCAACCACCCTGCCAGAGGCAGGGACAACTTTCACTAGACCAGGTTGCTCAAAGCCTAGTAGTTTAAAGATTTAATGACAATAAGAAACTTGTATTTGTAATGAGATAAAGCAGTCTTAAAAGCAACAAGTAAGATGCTTGAATTCTTGCATAGGGAGAATAAAATAATGTAGCATGCAGGGTTTCCAACTGTACTGTTATCATGGTTTTAAATGCAATCTGTTCTACAGTAAAAATAGAGAACATGGTCTGACTTCCCTAAAGCCATCAAGATTGCCTCTCTGTTCACAGTAGCAGACTCCAGAGGGAACTCTACTGATTATAAAACTTACAATTTCTGCACTAGCTTCTTTGTTCTACAACCAGGAAACACCTTCAAGCACAGCAAATACCATTATTTTTATCTACACGAAACACACACATGGGCAGAGTTCCACTGGGCCTCCATCAACATTCCTTCAGTAATGTATTTTAGTATAACTAATGCCTGCTGCAGCTGGTTGTGTTAAAAAGAACCCAACAGTACCTTGGAAGCTGAGGTATTGCTTGGGCTTTCAGTGTACAGGTGACCTCAGCTATACAAAGCAAAGCACTTCCCATCACATTCTTTTCCTCCTTCTCTGAAGAAATTAGATCGATGGCAGTTTTCAGAACATGTACAAATGGCACTGGATTTTCTGTGCCAAAACCTTTGCAGAGTAGCTTGAGGCTGAACAAAGCAGTCTGCCTGTTGATAGCTTGCTCCTCCTCTTCCTCCTTTCTTTTACACTGCACAATAGCAATAAGCTCAGGAACTAGCTCCAAGAGCTGCTGGATCTAAGAGGACAAGAGAACACACACATTAGACATATAATTAGAAACTCAGAACCTGCAAGGTAACTAGGGGCAGGTAGCCTACGTCTCACAACTCAAGAGCTGCCTGCCAGACTTGGCACTGGTACTTGACGTCTTTACATAGAGCAAACCACTTCTACATCAATCTCTCTCTGGGTACTTCTGCTAAAGGAACAGAGTTTAACCACTTTGCCTCACCTGGCTCTTCTGCCACTTTGTGCGCTGCTGCACCTTATTGTTCAAAAGGTCCATTGCCTTACGTCTTACAGATGGGAGCTGATTCATCATTAGTCCCCTAATTACAGGGATGAAGGTTTCTGTTGGCAGTAAGGCATTGACCTACAAGAAAACACAAACAAAACAATACCATAAATCCTCTTCCATGCACTGTGACATAGTAGGCTCCAAATAAGACAGGCAAACTCTCTTCAACTTCCTACATGGGTTTCAGGATCAAAGAGCAGAGGACAGGCTAGCAATGCTTTATCTGATGCAAGCAAAAGAATGAAGCAGGTTCCAGTTACAGTACTTAATGTATGTCCACTGGCTGCTAACCAGCCATTATCCACTTGCTTCGAGATTTCCTCAGCAATTCCTTTTGTCTACACTGGTAAGCTATCCGTCCTTACCCTAAAATACTTCTGGTAGTGCTTGGTGCATGTACATCATGACAACTGGAATATGCTTCACAGGCACAAAAAATCCCAAAACAAACCAAGCTGTGAAAAGACTGCTCAACAACATGCAATGAGATAGCCAGTCCAGTTCTACAAATATTCTTCTGATCAGAAAGTGATTAGAAAGAAAAGCATCAGGATTTTTTTCTCCAAGTAGAAGTATACAACAGTTCCATTAGCATTACTTAAATCATTTTATGAGTTAACAGTGAGAAATGCTGCCAAGAGCCATTCTTCTCCACCAGACAGACAGTGAAATGACTGCTTCCAGCCAGCAGAATACTGACTAGAAGAAACAAGCATTCCTGATTTTTTTTCCCCTCTGGTTGTTCTGTCTAAACTGTTAGCTGTAGTTATTAAAGTTGTTAGATGAGTTAAAACAATGATGCACCAGGTTGCAGACCATCCAATAAAGATTAGTCCTAATCCAAGAAGAAATCCTACAAAGGTTATAATCATATGAATAAGCAAAAGCAGAAATGTCCCACTGCTAACATGACGGCTAATGAGACATACTTTATCCAGCATATCATAGGATTTGTTAAGCAGAACCCTCCAAAATTTGGCTGTTGGCTTGTCCACGTTTCCTTCCACTGAAGATGCCACAGTGTTTATATAGTGAAGAACTTCTTCTAATAGCCTAGACAGAAGGAAGCATCTTTTAGTAAGTAACAAGGACACTAAAGAAGTTGACTATTACTGGAAAGCATAAAATTTCATGAAACAGCAATAATAAAAGAAAATGAAACACCCAATGGAGAGACTAGCAGATCACATCTACGTACTAACAAAAAGCTATGGCAATAAGGACAGTTGTGCACATTAAAGAAGCCTACCTGGTACCCCCAAAATTAGCATCTACATACAACAGTAGTTCTACTTGAGAACTCTACTTCACAACAAAAACAATCTGTAAAAATGAGCATTTAAGGAACACAAAATAAATCCTACACCCTTTTTCACTTAGAACAAACATAAAAGTTAAGCCTCTGCAAAAGAAACCCTCATTTTTGCATCATTGGCTGTTATAGCCCAATGACTACAACTGTGATCTGTGATTACTGGTAATTTTCTTACACCAGTACAGGGGTGCCTGTGATTAATGATTTTTTTTTTTCCTACAAATGAAGCGGTATGTTTTGCTAAAAATCTGGAATTCTTTGAGAGACTTCTTCATCAATAGCATAATAGTTATGGCCACGTATGTAAATAAGCACTATCAGAAATACAGAAGGAGTGGATATTGGTTAGAGCAATCTTTCAGAAATAAAAAACTTCATCATATATATATAAAAAAAAGGCAAACCATAACAAAACACAAATAACTTGCATATAATAAATACAGCTTCTTGCCAAGGACTACATTAAAAGTAACCTTGGCAAAAATACTCTAATGGGACTACACTTAAAAAATGTTCCCAGGTTGCAGTAAAAGCTAGAAATAGGAGGAGTGAGCAGATTTAAATCATACCTCTGTTCCAACTTCTGCAGCTCTTCTGTTTTTTCACATTCAACTATCTGGTTTGAAAAGGAAGAATGAAAACTCTAAGTGTGAAACTTACATCCCCTCATTAAGTTAATATCCCAGTACACACAAATTTGTTTGTTCTGAATGAAAGTGTCCACTAACATGGTAATGATGAGTTCCCTGCAGCTGCACTTAAGCCATCATTCTACAAGAAAATCTGAGAATCTTGGGCAATGCAGTCACAGCAGCGAACACATTTCATGCTGGTGGATGATATTCAGTTGAAAAACTGGGAACTACTTCCAGCTAGACCTGCAGCCTAAAATTGGTAACATTTATTTTGTCTTTTCAGAGTTAATAGCATGAGTCCCACACCAAACTTGGAGTTATACAGACTGCGAGTGAAAAACCAGACTCCATAAAGCCGGTGGGAATCCACTGGGACCAGAATTTCAGTTTGTTACCTATTCATTGATCACACAAACAGAGTCTATCTGGAAAAGCCTTATTAAAAAATAATTAACATTACTGAGAGGTTTCAAAACTGTGTCAATAAACGTGTCAGCAAGATACACTGGACAGATCCCCTTTGAATATAAAGCTGTACTAAAAAGCAAATTAAACCTCATCTATTACAGTATGGCACAATTACTTAATGTGATCAGTTTAAAAGCAATCTGCCATTATTACCTTTTTCACAAAACTCTGAGAAGATAAAAGTTGTGACATGAAGGAGACTGACAAGAATTTGAAATGCCGAAGTTGTTTGTCTGAGTGAGACTCCACATTAAAGAGCTGCCCATCCTGATTTTTTAGCTTTGTCTTGCATATTCTTGACGTTTTTGGCCCAGGATCATCTGCTGAAAACATTCACAAAACAAATTTGTAGCCAAGAGAAAAAGACATTTGATTTCGATGACAGAAACAAAGTAAAATTACAGTCAGATGCCTATCAAGGATAGTCATTCTGTGGTATCCAAAATTGTGTCAAAGTTCCAAAAAAGATGCTCTGACATACCACAGGAAATAATTTTTTCATTTCAGCAGCCTCAAAAGAAGTAGTGCCATTTCACTGCCATTCCACCTGATCATTTTTACGTGAAGAATCTTCCTTTTTGTTGGTGCTAAAGCTATGGTGGTACACTGGCTACAAACACAAGAGACGTTTGAGGCAGGACCATATACATTGTGTGTCACATATTTGGGAAAACTGCTTTCAGTGTCATGACCTGGTCCTTCCTGGCTGAGAAAATGTATTCAAACAACAAATACAGCAAGTCCTAACTTAAAAAGAAACAAACAACCCTCACACACCTTCCCCAATGCTCTTTGAAATAACAGACTGGGAAAGTATTAAAACATATTGTTTAATTATTGCTCCACTATATTGTAGTAGAAAGAAATGAAACCTTGAAAAAAACCAGAAATTATTGGTAGTCCCTGTGATCTTGTCTGCTATGAATAATAGCTTTTTATTTCAACTAAATGATTTACTGTACCTTCTAAATGAGAACTATTGTCTGATTCTAAGTGCTCAAATTAATCTCTAATTAAAAGGATTAAAAAAAAAGTAATCACATATCTTAGCCATTTTATTAAAAAAAAAATTCATTAGAGTAATTTGGTATCCCTTAGATATTAGGTATCCCCTCTATCCCTAGAGGAGTAATAGAATCACAGAATGGTTTGGGTTGGAAGTGACCTTTAAAGGTCATCTAGTCCAACCTTCCTGCAATGAGCAGGGACATCTTCAACTAGATCAGGTTGCTCAGAGCCTCGTCCAACCTCACCTTGAATATTTCCAGGGATGGGGCATCTACGACCTCTCTGGACAACCTGTGCCAGAGTTTCACCACCCTCATCGTAAAAAATGTTTTCCTTATATTTTGTCTAAATCTACCTTCTTTTAGTTTAAAACCATTATCCCTTGTCCCTTGTAATAGGAAGGTTTACATGCATTTGCTGGCTCTGTTTTGTGGTTACCTTCTTTGTTCTCTGGCAGCTCTGTCAAGTACTGGATTATTTTCATCATGCTCTGGAACTGAGAATGTACATTAAATTCACAACAGATGGAAATCCAAAATTCAGTGTCTGCTTCCAGAACAGCATCCTGTTTACGGTTTAGAAATAAAAAAATAAATAAATCAAGAATTAAAAAAAAATTACTAGTAACGATAAAAAAGACTCAAAAACTCCTCAGTGATTTTGTGAAAATGCTGTGGTGAGCTGGATACTGCCAGGATTAACACCAAAGGTAATAGCAGCAAGATCTTGGAGAGAACCTAGTTCCAAAGGTTGTAGAAAGAGATTAAATTGCTACAGCAAAGACTGCATCTTCTCACCAATGTTCCTTTAATAATTCTTCTAGTTTTCCCCATAATCCATGCTTTCACCTAACCCGAGGGCCTGTCTACACAAAAACATAATAGGGTTTTTATCTTGGTCTGTACAGGAAGACCAGTATCACAGAATCACAGAATCGTTTACGTTGGAAAAGATCTTTAAGATCATTTGAGTCCAACCGTCAACCCAACACCACCATGCCCACTAAACCATGTCATGTTTCACAAACAGTTAAAGGAAAAAAAAACCACAACCAACTTTAAAAATATTGAAGCACTTCATAATTAGATTATCAGCTCTTCAGGTCAAGGATTGCTGTACAATATGATCTCATTTATGGTTCAGGCTCTAGGACAAACCAGTATTGTATCTGCAATGCCAATCGTAGTTGACATCACCATCAGGTTCTGCTGTAGCACAAGCTCAGAGCTCACTACTTTTTTTAGCATAACCTAGGGGCTTATCTTGCACCTTCTTAAAGGCACGACCATGAAGTTGACCCCACTAGTCTTCTAACCTTGTCTGTGCTTGATGTCGCAGTCACAGTTTTGGTCACGTACTGCTCAAACAGCAGCACCAGGAGAACCCAGAGGAACTTGTCTCCTCCCACCGTAGTGATCAGCTGGGCCAGGATCGGCAGGCGGCGGTGCTCCGGCACATGGGGCAAGGCATCCACAAACACACGGATGATCTTTATCACCACCTCTTCCACACTTCCCGAGGACTCTGACAAATCACTGTCTTCAGCCTGTGTACAAACAGGTACAGCAGTTCAAACAGATTATCACAGATGGGTGTAAGTTCTTTCTTGTAAATTCAGAAAATGAGAGAAAGCACTACGTGCCTGATAACAGCATTACCGAAACATCATCTCAAGGAAAATATAAGTGCTCCAAAATAAACAGTTTTCAATCACACAGTTCCTTTTCAGTGTTTAAAGAAGATTCTTCAAATAAAATTAAACAAAAAAAAAGAAGAAAAAAATGAAAAAAGAAAAGAGAAAAAAGAAAAAAAGAAAAAGGAAAAAAGAAAAAGAAAAAAGAAGGAAAAAAGAAAAAAAAGAAAAAAGAAAAGAAAAAAGTTACTTGGCATCAGCTGAAACAAGGAGGACATTTTCAAAGGAAAGCAATGCCACATCCTTCTGAAAACTTTGCCTGTAAGCCTGATAGTTAGGGTCTTGGATTCAAGGTCCTGGTAAAAATAATACAAGTAGGCTACATGATCTCAGGTAAGTAACATTAGGCTCTCCTCACATGTAATGACTGTGTGCCAGAAATAATTTGTCACAGAAACTTATGATAGCTGCTATGAAAGGTTTTAAATAAAAAAAAAAAAAGGAGAGAGAGAGACAACAACCTGGTTTCTCTAACAGAGATCTGCAAGAGGATACAAAATGTGTATACATATCATTAAAAAATACACTGGGAAATCCCCAGCCCACTGTTAGAAGAAGAAATTTTTTCTTCCCCAATTCATTTTTATATAGGAAATCTGTACGGCATTTTTCATGTTTAAATCTACGAATGACTCTAGAATTTAAGATTTATTAGGTGCAAGTGAAATCTGACTGAAGAAAAAATGTCCCCTTTGAAAAACAATGATGTATTTTTATTTTGATTTATAACCATTTATCTAAGATGTCCAGACAAAAACAAGAAAACCCACACAAACACCAGCTGAAAGAATAAAAGCATTTGTCAAATATTTATTTTACCTTTCCACTTCCTTCAGACCATGTCTACTATTGATATGACCATGACATACTATTATAGGACTAATAACCTCCTTTGTATTTCCAGTGGTTCTTCTACTGAACTTGCCTACTATTTTTATGATGAAAAACCTGAACTTAAAGTATGCTTCAGGTCCTCCTTAGGTCCAGTTGTTGTACTGTTTTGGCTAAACCATTTATAAAGTGCAGGAGCTCATAAGATTAAAAAGAAGCAGTAGTGTGATGCTAGTTGGTCAGATGAGGAGTAGTCTGTTAATATAGTTATATATAATATAATATTTATCAAAAATAATCCTAGAATAGGCTACAACTTATTCTACCACTGATATTCTACACCATTTACTCTACTTAATTAATAATCTTATTGTTCACTTGTTCCTTTCCATTAAGTAGACAAATTTACCTGTATAAGAGCAGGAATAACCATCTGCACTGTCTTATTAATTACTTGGAACGTGTAAGTATCATCCAGACGCAAGACATTTGCTCCCATGAATGTAAAAATGGGCATAATGTTATGGAGAACCTTATCCTGGAAAAGAAGACAGATTAGATTAGTTTATTTTTTGAACTGTGCTGCTCTGCATATTACACCTTAAGGCATTTCTCATTCCCACAAATGCCACTAGATTCCTATAAAAGAAAATGAGAATCATTAGTATCTTCCAAAATCTCCACTAAGCTAATTTTAAATGTATAGTGTCCTGTAGAGCTACTTACTATGTTATTGTTAGAGTTCTAAGTATTATTTAGAAACCAAGATAAACCTCTAAGCAAGTAATTAAACAGTGGAAATTGAGAATTTAGTCTGATGAAGTACCTTGTATTCTTCAACTCAGTGCCATAGTAATATGACAAGTAAAATCAGCCATGGGGAGATTTGCAGAAACACAAATTTGAGTGTGGCACAGATTCCAGTGATTTTTGTAACTTTCCCACCCACCCTTCTTATATCTGTAAAACATCTGCAATATCTACAATCATACAATGGAAACCAACCACGGTCATTTTAATTTTGGGCTTTTTTGGGGGCTAGACTGCAATCACAGTAATTAAGAGGGCTGGATTAGAGGTGTCACCTAGCTCAAGAGTTAGTTTCCTAGATTTTGCCAGAACTTAGAGCAAGAAGTTATGGGCACATTTTTTATTCAGTTTTAGTGAACTGATGGAGTGTTCTAGATTTAAAAAGAGAGATGAGACTCATACAAAATATTTCATTGTATTCTGACCTTGAAAATCTTGTAAGAACCAATATTAATGTAGAATAAAAGCTGAGTCCTATAGCAGGTGATGGCAGTAAGATGGCGACAAAGAAAAACAACCCAACATTAAAAAAGCCAAATCCTCCACAGATTTGTCAAAAAACATTCCACTTCTGCCTTTTGGGAAAAATGCTATCCTTCCAAACATGAGGAGAAAGTACTGAGTTTGATACATCTGGATACATTTTGCAGCTCTTATAGTTTCAAAGCAAAATGATCTTAGAAGAGTGTGCGTACAGTCAAATTTCAATCCATAGCAGAAAAGGTCTTTTTCTCGGTCGATTAAAATCAGACCAATCTCGTTTTATCATCAACTACAACTACATTTCTCAGTGTTGTACAAGATAGGAACTCGTAAGAATACATGTGCTATCGGGCTAGATGTTTTCTCTCATGTATATAAAAAAGCAGGGGAAAGAAGAAACAATGCATGAGAACTTTGACCACAGCGGGAAGGTGAGGCATGGCTGTTGTCAGAAAGCTTCTTTGGTTTCTAATACACTTCACTGCAAGTCATAAATGACTAGTGACCAAAGCATCAAGACAGAGGTTTGTTTTCAAGTAAAATGGAACAGAAAGTCCTAAAAGAGCAGGGAACCTATAAATTTTGCCTCTTGCTCCTTTCAGAAAGTTTCTCCTCACAGAAAGCTCTGTACGTTCTTCACTCTTCACAATATTTGGGACCTCTAGAGAAGAGCCGACACATACATTTCAGATACTACTTACGGGAAACATGCCAGCAACAGCACCAAGGAGAAGCAGTGCATGGTGGTGTGTCTGAGGCATTTTAGAAATCCTGATGCACTGAACTATCACTTCCACGTTGAATTTTTCTTTGTCAAGGATATCTGCAAGTAAAAAATATTCACTGCTTAACACTTTAACGGTCAACCACGTAGGAATAAACAGTACACTCAAGCACTGGTTTCAATTTGCAAACCATACCTAAGGGATCACCAAGAAATGATTAAGAAGGCAAACTTTTATGCCCTATAGAGGAACCTATCTCTCTTCAACAATACAGCGTAGACTGAGAGAAGAAAAAAGTTAAAGACCAGTGTTTTAATGCTGTACTGGTGAGAGAAGTACCAAGAAACGAGTCTGGCAATTTTTACCTGCTGGGATCTTGCTGCCATCTGAAGACAGTTTCTGACAGATGCTTAGCAGGCAGCTGAGGATTAGCTGCTTTGTATATTCCATATTTTCTTCTTCTGATGCCATAGGTTCCAGACACCTATACATTCAGGAAAAAAAACAGAGAATGAAAAAGGAGACAGAAAAACAAGTGACCAAACTGCATTTTAAGATACAAATAAAAAACTGCAATCTTCATTCTACAGAAGTTCTAAATTGAGGCTTCTAAAAAGTGCTTGCCAAAAATTGTCTCTTCTTTTTTGTTTTCAAATACATCACCTGGTCTAATAAGAAACATTTATCAAAGCACTGTCAAAAGTATAAGATGATTACATGAAATATGATTGCCAGTCTATGTAAAGGCAAGTCATAAGGAAAAAAGGAAAAATACCCAATAAATATGTAAACTTTCCTAAGTGCCTGCAGACAGGGCTGGCAGGAAAAGCAATAGTTTTCTTAGGTTGCACTGGATGAAGGCTGTTCCACAATGTTTTGGGAGGAATTTTAAAGCTTAGAGTATTATTATAATAGCTCTGCAGAAGACACAAGTCCTGTCAATTGTGCCAGTTTTAGCACAGGTGTCATCCTTCTTAGCAATCTCAAGCCCTCCACCTGAGAAACAAAGTCTTCACATAAGCTACACAACAGGTAATAATCTTAAAAAGCCCATCACATTGTTTAAAGGGCCAAAAAGTCGTAACAACTTCCTGTTCCCCTCATCTGATTTACTTAAAAGAAGTTCAAGTAAAAAAGGCAAGCTAAGCTACAAAACATGGCAACAAAGCAGAGAGAAAGCAGCCCCTATTTTAACGCTTTACAGCGTCTGCTGCTGAAGAGAACGCTTAAGGACTCATGTGTTATGGAGGCACGATTACCGGCTCAGCAGGTTAAAAAGCGCAGGTACCAATGCCTGTGGTCGTCTAAGTTTCTTCTTATGCTGCAGTAATTCCAGAATAAGCATAACCCTCTGCCAGCTGAATTGGCTCGTTTCCGGTGCCAATTCTGCATCTTGAGGCTTTCTAAAAAGATAAGACAAATAAACAGGATATGCATTTGCAAAGAAAATAGTACAGTGTTTCAGGGAACAAACACACACATAAGTAAAAAAAGAAAATTTTTCTTTCACATAGTAGGATCTTTTACTGCTTCTCCTGGGAGAGATGGCAATGTCTGGGCTTTTGATTGAAGCAGCAACACATTTTAAGCAACCAACAGAAAATCCAGATCAAACTTGAAAAAACAAGCAAGCATAGCATGCCTTCAGTGTATACAAAAATTCTACACAATGAAGCAGACTTCTGTGGAAAAATAATAAGATCTATTACCAAATAACTGTCCAAATGCTGATCTCCTTGCCATCCAGGAAATTTGCATCTTCAGAACTACTCGTTGTCTAACCACTGACTATGCAGGTGATGGGGGTGTGTGTGCAAGCATGTGTGTTTATAAACTCTGACAGACACAGTTTACAGATGGATCGATCTAATGGGTGATGATTGTTAAAAATGGTCAAGTGAAGGAAAATAAGAACAGCTATTCTAGGTCAAGAAAACCAACTCAATAACCTGTTTCAACAACGGCTGACAGCCGATGCTTAAAGAGAATAAGTAGTCAACAAAACAGCTCCTTCCTTAGGAGAGTGGAGAGAAGAAACAAGACGAAGAGATCTAAAAATTAATTAATATATCAACATTTTAACTGAAAGAAAATACTGTTTATCAGTCAACTAACAGAAACATTTTGATGAGCATCTGTAGGCTTCAGCCACGTGTATGTAATTTGTCCATACATCTTTATTAGTAACCAAGTTTAATACCTACAAAAATGAATCTTGTTCAACTGTGTCAAGGCAGATTCTATAAAAGCAAATGTCAACATTAAAGCTACTGTTTGTTTTTTTTGTTGTTGTTTTTTAAAAATTTTGACTATAGTTCCATCAGTTCTCAAACAGCAATATGAGCTGGCTTTCTCTTGCCAAAGTAGCTCAGAGTTATTTTACTGTGCAGGGGAAAAGAAGAAATAAATGCTTATGCTTTCAATACAAACGATGCAATGTAGTAAAACAAGTGGCATTTTCCAACTGTACAGATAACGTTTTTGGGTTTCTAGTTATTTTACCTTTGTTGCTGCATTTTCTGCCTTCTAGTTTGCTGAACAGTGGCCAGACTTTTGGTCTTCTCAGGAGGCTCCAGTTCTCTGACAATCTGCTCAGCACACACTGAAATCTGAAACAAAGAACAATAATGCGAGTACCAATAAAAAAAGTGTTGTATCGCACATCTATGCCCCCTCCTTTCTTTTAAAACGCATCCCTTTCATGCACATATGAGTACATAATCCACATATTCAAGTCATATCCCAGAAAATGAAAATCAGCACAGCAGAAAGAAGTGACTTCTGCTGAATTCATTCACATAGTATAGTAAACAACTGATGCATGGCTTTTAAAGAAATACCTTCTAAAAGCAGTCATTTAACAAACTTTTCATGCCATTAGCACAGTTATATTACATGACAAATAGTTTCCGATTCCTTTCATGCTACGAATGGTACAAATGACGAGTGTTACTGAATGTAGCAACATAGAACCACCGCAACATGTTTGAACATATTTCTGTGTTTTGGAGTTTGTTACTTACCCCTTTAAACACACTGCTAATTGTCTGGGCACAAAGTGGGTTCTTACAGTTTAACAGTAAGTCAAACAATACTTTTAATAGCTTCTGTTGCACCATTCCATCTGACACAGCTGCAAAGAATGGTTTAGTGATCTACAAAAGGGAAAAAAGAAAGGATGCAGAGAGGTTTACTGTAAAAGGTTAACAAAATCACAAGCTATGGAACTTAGGTATGTCAGATTATGTATGACACACCCAATCACACACACGTTAGTATGAACATATATTGTAAAAATATGCATATTAACTACGTATTTGTAGATATCCAGGAATCCTTAGATGCAAAGCACGTACTTCTGAAATATCCATCAGATATACCAATTCCCAAAATTTTTCACACAGCTTGCCTGTTGGGGGGAAAAAACTTGCTGTTGCTAGCCTTCGGTAAGTATATGCTAATGCCTGGCTAATAGAAGGCCTGAATTTGTAGCCTCCTTCGGATGAGACTATTTCTCACCTGCTCTATTTTCTTGACAATTTTCCCTCAGAAGAAAAACATGAAGTAAAGCTCCTGCCTGACTGACAAAAACTAAGGACAGTGGAACAGTAGTATCTGCAGGTAATGATACAGGTATTCATCTGCATGAAAATACAACAATACTTCTATTCTGTACTTGTCAAAATGCAAAAATAAAGCAAGCAGCAATTTCTGCTCCTCGTAAGTTTAAGAAAGTTTTGCAGCCTGTTTAGATGTTTCAAAGACACTACGGAGACCTTGAAAACTTGTACTAGAAGAAAGACGGTGAAAAGCTATGGGCTCCTTAACTCAGAGAGTCCTTTAAAATCCAATCTTAAACACTGCTATTTGCTTTAAGCATAAAAATAAATTAAAGATCTTTCCTAAAGCCATACCTGCCCAAGTGCGGTGATCTGAAATGGTGGAATTTCTTCATAGATTTTCTTGGCAGCATGCAGACTTTTGATAAATAAATCTAGACTCTGCTGATTCTTGCACAAGAGGGTTGCTGAATATTCATTAAACTTTCCAAGGATGAGATGCAGGAGAACAACTTCATCTTTCAACATTGCCTCAGGTTTCTTAAAGACCTTCTCTAACAACCGGTCTAGTACAGGCAAGAGGTGAGAAAGAATCATCTGCAAACAGAGGAAATTCATAACAGAAGTTTTTATCCATTCTCATTTTAACAGAATTCCAATAGCACAACTTCATTTCACTGCAACATCCCCTCTCTGGTAACATACTGCATACAGTATTTTATGCAACGACTATTCAAGAGGAAAAATACAAGACTTATTGTGAGATTGGCATGAGTACATGCTCATCTGCTGCCTTGCTATTCTCCTTTGCAGAGTAGTATTTCATATTTTTAAAGTACAGAAACAAGACAATTTTTTTCACCAATTTATGACTGCTGTCTTCTACAAAACCCAAATGTGGGGCAAGAACGCTCATCTTCTATGCAGTTCACAATCCTTTCAAGACACATACAACTGAACAGAGCATTAACATTCATAATTTCATTCATTTTTTGAACATCGAACTCATGTATTTTCCAGCACTTAGACAATTCTGAATATACTAGATAAGAGGAGGTTAATACATACAAATAAAATTGATAGTACTACCTAATACATTACAATTCTGTACAGAAAATTCTATATTCACTGATACCTAACCAAGGTAATAAATTTCTTCTGGAAGAATCTTCTTCTGAAGCAGCCTTTTCAGTAACATCAAGGGAGTTTCCTTAAGAACTCCAGTGCAAAATTCTGCAGCCCTTACATTCCTGGATGGAGCATGCAAATATTTTGTGTTTCATTAAGTCATACTTTGCAGCACTACTGCATATTATTAGAGGTGTCAACTTAATGCCTAATAGTCTAATACATTATGAAGTTATTTAACAGCATTATTACAATTAAATTTGATTTCAGCATTTCAATCAAGTGCAGAACCCATGAAACAACTAGAAAAGTGGCACTTACCTCACCATGGACTTCATGAAGAATTTTCATTAAGTTTCTTGCAATATATGATGGGAAAATAGGGTTCTGTACACAATCAAGTATGCCTTCCAAAGCCTCCAACAATTTTTTCTTCTGGGATTTCTGTTTTGGTTGTGTCTCAAGCTCCTCAAATAGAGTTTCCATAATCTAGTTCATTAACAAAGCAGAAATTAGGTTCTCTCCCTGCAATAAAAATGCTTTAAACCAACGTTTATTCAATGCTTTCCTAATAATGCAATATAAGTGCAAACAGAATTCTTCATCTGTAATTAAACCACAAGTTAATACCTCTTATTTGACTGATATTCTCAATTCTCTGTATGTAATAAATCACTTGAATGTTTTTATAGTCCTTTAAAAAAAATAAATAAGTCTCCTATAGTATACAAAATGAACTTTCCCAGTTAACTTGATTTCTTTTAGAAAAGACGGGAGCCCACAGCAGCAGACAAAACATGTATTAATGTACACCTTAATAACAAAAATACCTGTGTTATGTATGTAGGGTCAGATATGATCTCTTCTGTCTTTTGCTCCAAATGCTGAAGAACAGGATGAAATAGGGACTCCTTTATCCCTCTCAAGGAATGAAGGCAGTTGAGAGCAGCCCTTCGAACTTCACTCACAGGACTACCCAAGTTAATTAGCAAAGATATCACCACTGCAAAAAGAGTGAGGGAAGGAAGGAGGAAAAGACAACAGAATAAAGCAAGTGGTTAGAATTTTAGCATATCCGTCCCTGAAGAGGCATCAACTTTCCTTTGGAATTAAAAAGTCATCTATTTTCACTATAAACCTCTAGACGACACAAAACCAACATGAATCTCATAGATCCATGGCTCTGAACTCCACCACAGTCCTTATATTTGTGTTTAAGCACAGAGAGTTCCTGTATCGCTACTGACTGACATATCCTTATACTGCACAGAAAGTAAGGTGCTGTAACTGACTGACTTCTTCAGCATAGGAGCGTGTTTCTTTAAGACTTCTAAGATTTTAAAAAAGTGGTTTCACCTACTTTCAAGCTTGGGCTAGTAACTGGAGCAGTGAATCAGCAAGAAAGACAGCTGTCTCAGCCTAGTGCAGCTGATCATAAATAACTATAGATACCCTTCATGGTATAAAGTATAGTAAAATTGCACAAAATTAAAAAATACTGTGATTTAAGTCTTAAGATGTAAGATAGATACTGTTTTACTTTACCCGGAGATGATGGTGATAGCAGCTGTTTCTTTTTTTGGCATGTCTGTGATTCAAGCAGTGCATAGCCAATATATAGAGCTTGAGTCTGTAGCATTGCATTGACTTCATATTTTAGATGATTTGAAAGGTTATAACTGTAAGTCCATAAAATTGAAAGGAATTTGAAGAGAACCTCTGAATCTTTTAAAGGTACCTTAAATTTAAAAAAAAAAAAAAAAAAAAAAAAAGAAAAAACCCACTTATTTAATAACTGTCATTTATTTGGCAAACTACTACTCACAACATCTGATAAACCACCCAAATCAAAGGAATACACAGAAAGAGAACTAAAGAGTCAGAAACAGTGTCTTTTGGGACAAAAAAGTTATTGAGTAGATGCTTTTGAGTAAACAGTACTTGCAGGTATATACAAGTCCACATGTTGCTTAACAGCTGGCTTATTTAGTTTAATAGATAACTTGTCACCTACAGGTATGTAAATAAAAGGGATTTTTTTTTTAATCATAACAGACTGAAAACACATCCGTATGAACATTTGCATAGTATGTCAACTGCGCAAGAAAACTGTTACATGAAAAGTAAAGAACTGCTATTTCCTGTTTTGTGCAGCAATAATCTTAACATTAAAAGTGTTCTAAGTTATCCCTGACTTTTTCATCAATCATACAAAGTAATTTTCAGAAGTCTATAAACTAGCGTCTCAGAAGAGCTAGGCATCCAATTTCCTTGTACAGCACAGCTTTCTGTGATGAATATTCACGCTAAACTTTATTCTTAGAATTTGTCCTGGACTGTATAGGCTTTATAATAGCGCATGGACCAAAATTAACAAACTCTGAATCATAAATGTATCACTGACCATCGCAGACACAGGTCAGAGTGCCTTCTCCCACCCCCAGCAGTAATCAATTTAAAGTTCTTGCTTACTACATGGTCTGGCAATAGCTAGCATGCTTTCCGTCTGCAAGATGCTCTCCGGAATCCTAGGAGCTCTTCATTCATCAAACAGGAGTGCCCACTCAACATCCCGCAGACTGAACACAGCTTGCCAGAACAACTGATACAGCTTCTGACATACTCTTGCCTATTCTCTTTTCCACAAGTCCACCAAGATCTAGGTCTAGTTATATTAACTGTTCTGGAGCTGGCAAAAATAACTGTCTTGTCCCTTTCAAATTAAACACCCTCAAAACTGGAGACCAGCAGTACTCCACAAGTGAAAGAAGCAAATTATTACAGCAGCTGTTACCTTCACTAGGTCCTAGAACATTACTAACCCCATTCCACAAACTCTCTGTAGTCCCTCCTCCAACCTTCTTCTCTTCTTCTGTGCGGTACGACCCAGCTTGCTCAGTCACAAATCCCACCACAATAACGTCCTTCCTCCCCTGCTGACAACCTTTAACTAGCCAAGCACCGAATCCATCTCTTTAACAGCTCAGCGTCAGTACAATTTCACTAGATCTTGGAGTGACTTATAATTAGACAAAGTTATACACGAGAATTAACAGCAGAAACAAGTTTTGTTATGAAATCGTTGATATTCTTTTCCTCCCCTGTTTGTGTTTCTCACGTGCTGTGTTCTTGATGAAACAGCATCAAATTCCAGTAGCAGCAGCTTTGTATCAATTACTTGCTTCTCTTCTCCTGAGAATGTAAAGTCACTACTCCCTGTCATCTAAAATCCAGACTGCCAAAATCCCTTCTTCTCTTCGCAACAATGTATCACTTGATGTGGGTGAGAGAACATGAGATGATGTTATAAGGAAACATGCAATGTCTTCTAAAAGTCTTCCTTTCAATTTTTGTATTTAAAAACTAAAAAATTTTACAGAGCAACTATTTGCTTTGCTCCCAGATAAGACCAAAACTTTTAGCTCAAACTTCCAAGCTCTTATCCTGCAAATCAGTGTTATGTTTTCACCTTTGCCTCAACTGGTCCATTTATTGTTTTTTTACTTTCATTTTCTATTACATTTAATTAGGGTTAACTAACCAGCTGAAGCTTAGACTTTCATCTGCTCACAGTACTAGCATGCCACAAGCAGTGCTGCATGATCAGTTCTCCATTTTTCTCAGGTTTCCTTAAAATTATGTAACTGTGTAATAGTGGATGACTAATAATTCAGAGCAACAAATGCAAAAATAATACCTTGAGTAAAAGATTCATCAATGCTCTGTACTGAACAGCATTGCTTCCCTCACTTGCTCCACAGACAAGTAGGTCAAATAGTCCCAAAAGGAGGTGCAGGTAGTCTTGGCTATCTTGATTCAGAGATTCGGGATTCCACCAAGTTTCCTCTGAAAAACAGAGGTTATAAATAAGACACAGTGGATGTATATGAACACCTTTGGAAACCAAGAGAAAACAGACATCTCTAGTTAAAAGAAGACAATACATGTGGCCGATTTCATGTTCACAAGTAAGTAATCTTTACAGACCTCAACAACAACAAAGGAAGAAGGTTAGGAAAACAAGGCTTGCTTATTTCCAACAACTTCTGAAGACAAAAGAATTAACCTTTTGTCTTCACTTCATTGATATAAAGACAGTCAAAACCTTAACACCTACCTTTGGAAAAGGACAGAGGAGGTTTTAGGCCACTAATGAAGTTTTTCAGTAAGACCAGGAACATAGCTGACTCCTCTGCATGAGCAGTCTGATCACTGTTGAGCTTATCTATACATGCAGTTAACAAGTCCTTAGGCACCAAAGTGTCCTCTATTGTTTCAACAGACCAATTGAGGGGAGTCTCCTGTGAATGAAAATTCATTTTAATGTATGCTGTCACAATTTCATGCAACAGAAGACAGAAAATTAGCACTAAAATTCAGCAATATTTAATTTCCAGCCTCAAAAGAGATATCCTTATGAAGTGAATTACATTCCTGATTTTATACTTGCATCTGCAGTTTTAAAACCTATGCCAGCTCTTAGTACCATAACTAACAGTGTACCTAAGTAAGGTAACAGAAGAGTAAAATACCATTCTCTCTAAAATATCTCTTCAAAGGGATTAGGAGTTACTCACAGCATTTTGTGGATATTCAGTTTAATCCCTTCATCTAGCTCTGTTCCAGCAACACAATCCATATCTTTCAGATATTTGTACATATAAAAACTCTTTAATGGAATAATCTGAGGTCAGAGTAACTAATTACCATGTATTGTGCTGTGTGTGTGTGAGGGAATGCACACACAGAAACACAGCCCTGCTCACGTGGGTTTCTTATGCGTGAAAAAAAGAACAAACTGTTTCAACAACAAAATAAATCAAGAAAATCCCAATGGGAAATATGCATAAAAATAAAGCAAAAAAAGGTAGCAGAAAGATGCAGAAATACTCTTTCTGAACATTGTTCCTGCCCCTGTGATGGCTCCTCCTTCTGCCTCCATGTTACCCCACTCAACAAGTCTCAATACAACTGTTTATGGAGCTGCACAATAAACCAAAACCCATCTAATTCAGGAACAACACTTTCAATATTGTTGCAAGGATTTGCTTGAGGTTGCAATTCATAGAATCACAGGATCACAGAATAGTTTGGATTGGAAAGGATCTTCCAAGCTCATCTAGTCCAACCCCCCTGCCATGGGCAGGGACACCTTTCACTAGATCAGGTTGCTCAAAACCTTGCTGAATATGACCATGAACACTTCCAGGGATGGAGCATCCACAACTTCTCTGGGCAACCTGTTCCAGTGCCTCACCACCCTCATAGTATAGAATTTCTTCCTTCTATCCAAGCTAAATTTACCCTCTTTTAGTTTAAAACCATTGGCCCTTGCCCTATCGCTATAGCCCCCGGTAAAAAGTCTCTCTCCATCTTTCTTATAGGCCCCCTGTAAGTACTGGAAGACTGCACTAAAGTCTCCCTGAAGCCTTCTCTTCTCCAGGCTGAACAACCCCAATTCAGCCTTTCTTCATAGGAGAGGTGTTCCAGCTCTCTGACCATTTTCCTAGCCCTGCTCTGGAACTGCTCTTAGCGTAAGCTCTTTTTCATACTCAGCTGCATTTCTTCTTTCCCCTACTGAACAAGCCAGCGAAACCTTTACTCAATGACTAAAAACCCTGATACTCCTAAGCCAGACAATGACACATGATGCCACAGGGTAGCTGGCAGAAAGGCTCCAAACTTTGTGCCAAGGCCACAGCACTGAAACATTGCATCAGTTGGTGGGATGCTAGCCTAAAGCTCTGGAATTCTTCATTTTTTAAGGCAGACTCACTACAGTGGTAAAATGCTAATCTTAATGGCAGCTTCTAGTACTGCTGCCAAGCGTGTGGTTTTGCTCTGAAAAGAAATGAAGGCGAGATTCCTCAAGGTTTCTGAACTTCTTGTTCTCCAGTAAAACAAGATTTCTCCATTACAAAGAAAATGCCCCCTCCAAAATGTTTACATCTTACCTCTGCAGCATCACAAGCTCTGAGATTTTTTATTTTTTTATCCAAGAAACAGAAGACTTTGGTAGCCACTGAAAAATAACTTTCCTTCATCTGTGTATTGCAGCAGCACTGAACAAGCACTGAACCAATTATATGAGTAGTTATTTTCTGTCTCACACTGTCAGATTCCGTTTCAGCAATGAGTATAAGACCATCAACCTTAGAGAAGTGAATGGAGGAAAAACAACAACAAAAAGTCTGTAAGACAGTGGGACTTCACTATGACTTTACACCATTTTTCATTTGCATATCCAGTTAAATCCTTGTTACTTTCTATCATCGGTAGCAAGTTACTGTCTGCTGTAATGGTGCTCTTTGGAACCTGGGAATGCACAAACATCTGTTTCTATGAACTACCCACAGGTATACTTGTTTATTCTCCAGATTTTTTTTTCAGTAAACTAAAAATTCCTGGAATTTAGTTACACCAATCATTTGTCCACATAATAGCTTCACTTCTTTTCATTATGTTAAGGTAGAAACCTGTTTTATCTAGACTGTATTGGGGTTTGTTATTCAATATATACATATTTGCCTAGCAGCTTGATGATAGTATACTAATGCTAAGAAGAGCATATACAAAGTTCTTCTGTTCTTTTATTCTACTGTATCACATACCTAAATCACATCACTACAGTGACCACCTGGAAAGTAAGATCTCTTAAGGTTAGGGTAGCATGGTACACATACCATTTGCAATAGTAAGGAAGGGTCCCCTGAAGTCATGTTTCTAGAAAACAGCAGAATCATTTTCTTGTTGGCCACTCCAATCAACTCTGCAGACTTGCTAGATTTAATTGCCTCTTCAAGAGCTATTCCAAGGAAAAAAATAATCAGACAATTTAGGTATAAAAATCACATATTAAAACACTGGTGGCTCAATAATATTTAGAAACAGTCAGAAACATACTAGACAATTTCTTCATCTTTTCAAAGAGATTTTTAAAGAACTCCATTCACACTCAAAGTATGAGAGTTTGTTAATAACAGCCAGTCTCCTTCAGTAAGTGTTTAGGTTCAATAAGGATGATGTCCTAAATTGTCACAATTTTTATCAAATTAGTTACGATTAATGCTTTACCTTCTGGCCAACCTTTCAGTAAAGGGTGTAAGGAGCAGAGATCAGATTCTGACAGACAAACAGCCATTTTCCAGTCTGAAGACTTTGAATTTGCATTAGTGATTACCATAAAAGGTAACAACTGCATTACTGCTTCATCTAGTAGTTCTTTTTTCTCTTTCAAGATCTCCTCTTTGACTAAAATTTTTATTGCTCGCTCCAGAACCTTGTACCTAAAAGAGAACAAGTCATGTTGAAAACCCATTGCTCAATGATACCAGCAACATTTCTTCCGATTTGTTCTCCATTTTCCATGGTGATTTTCTGAATCCAAATAGCAGCGAGAACAAATAAGGAATTCATGGGAAATGGTATGCAAATAATTGAACCTTTCTCTAAGAAATAGCAAATCTCTATGATATATCTATCTATCTCTATGATATAGCATAACAAAAAGTATTTGAAGGGAAAAGCAGTTTTGAAAGTATTCTTCAGAGTTACTTTTAAAAAATTTAATTTATACAGAAAGAATGTAGACTGAAAAAAGTCACAAACATACCACTTTCCATCCTTTGAAAGATCAACTCTCTGGAAGATGTTCAAAAGACTTGATACTAGTACTTCTGGATTGACTTGTTTCCTGAAAATCTAAAAAGTAATCAAGAAAAATAAATGAGAGCATAATAAAATACAATATAATTTACCATATCATAATGGAAAATGCATCTGCTATACCAAGTGGAAACGGGGATCAAACATTACTAATTGCATTCCTATTGATGATCGTGTAATAAAAAGGTAATAAAAAATTATCAGGGGAAACAGAAGTTATAAGGCTGCCCAGTATGCTCTCTTCATATGCTAAAGTACGGAGAAGTTATTGAATGCAGAAATGTTTGGTAGAATTGATAAACAATAAGCAAAACACTTTATAATTAAGTAAGAATTGCTTTTACTTTACATAGCATCTGTATGACAAAGATATAAGGCACATTAACAAAAGTTACTAAAGTTTAAAGAAGCACTCGCGTGGTTCTATTCCTAATTTTTAGTGATTGAGAATGAATGAACACGCAAGACCAATTATACTACTGCTAATAATATTCTCCACTACTACTAGCAGAAGCAATAAAGAAAGAGTGTTACTCTAGCTGGAAACAATCAGTACAATGCATACCAGAGTCCTATCCAGTAAACCTGAGCTGGAGTTTAGGACTTGGCCACTATCAACTGACCAAGTGACTCTCATACGGAAAAACTCAACTGAGCACTTCTCACTAGCGTAATGACTTGTCACTGCACCATTTTCCATCCAAAAGGCAGATAACATGGCTTGCGTTTTTATAGAAAAATGTACAGGATAAGCAGAAAGCACACTTCAAGTAATAATCAAAGATTAAAATATGCTTTAGTAGCTACATAAAAAAACATCAGTAAGTTCAGGTTAACTGCAAACACTTTGGGAAAGATTAGGAAGCAGAAATCTGGGGAGGAATTGTGAGGTGGTAAACAACACAAGCCTCCTAAATTTTTGTTACTTCATCCTGTTAAAGGACAAAAGCCGTACACTAAGGACATGAGTAGAAGAAGGACAATTACAAAGAATACATTCCAGACACATGTTCAAGACCAGCTAAAATCTCACCTAACATATCAAGATACAGACTTACCTCCAAAGAACTGAGAGCAGACATTACAACATCTCTGTTGTCATCCCTGAGCCGACCAAAAATTGCTTCTTCTATGAAAGACTGATCAAAGCCTTCCTGAAAAAACAAAGGAAAAGAGCCAAAGGGAAAAAAAAAATTTGTTGGTAGCACAATTTACAGGCTTTTAATGATATATCTGAATCGTAGTACAAGAAAAGCAGTTAACATCATCTAAATTAAACCTCACAGGCAGACTAACTTTCAACAACAAAAGAAGGAAAACCGGAAGAATCCATTAACTTAGATTTTATCTTAGACTACAAGCAGCATAATAAACAAGAACTATATCCAGGCTCCAGAATACAGGAAAATGGTGACAGAAGCCTACTGAAAACACCATGAAAAACAGTGAGGATGACATAAATAGTTTAATGTACCACTCATCTTCAACTGATATGTCTGGCAAACAGCTTTTTGAAGACATTATGTGTTAAGTCAGTTCTGTAAGTGAGAGATTCAGGACACAAACCTTTGATGTTTCAATAACATCTTTCAAATGCTGAAGAGCCAGAACCCGCACAGCTGGCTGAGGATGATTCAAACTAAGCAGTAGGGAGGTATCAGAGTCTTCCAGAAACTGAAATACAGATTTCAGAGTGACTCACTACATGTTAAAAATACTTCAAGTATATATAAGGATAATGGAAGAAATTCTTTCAGCAATTTTTTTGTACCAGAAGAAAATCTGTATAATTCAGACCCAAAAAGCATCAATTACAGAACAATGATGTTTTTTAACTGTTTCAAATTTGGTCAACTTCACTTTAGCAGACAGTTTTTGGAATATAGCTTGAAAAGTACAGTAAGCCACAGACACCTTTTTGTCCTAGAAAAGCACTACACTTATCTAAGGATTCTGAGAAAGCTCTAGTGATGATGTCAGTGTGACAGAGCACAGATAGAAACTGTTAAAAAGGCATCCCTGCCAGTCCAACTGCATGCACTTATCGCAGGAACCTTAAAGGCTAGAAGAGTCATATGCCTTTGTTCTGCATGCCTTCTTTTTCTGGTAATCCACTTGGTATTCAGTCACAGAATCTCTGCCATCGTTAAATCAGTACAAAAACACATGAAGCACTTCTTTATGTAGTTTATCATCTTCTCCTAAGTGCTTTTGGTCTTTCAATCATTGCAAACAACAGCCATAATACTAACCATCTCTTAATAATAAATTCCTTGGACAGATCTGTTGCACTCATGGTTATTCTGTGTTAGGCTGAGTTTCAACTGCTCTTCAGAAATGGCACAGGAAGAACTCTGCAGTCACTCTATTCTTCCATGTTACCAACTGTAAACATTCATAAAATCAATGCAACAAAAACGACCAAGTCACCTTCACTCAACAATGATAAAGTTGTTTGTCAGCTTTCCTAAAACAGATGCCTCTGACACTGACAAAATCTATAAGTAAGATGAGACCTTGCTGGGCACCACCATGTTGTCATTATCAACCACTACAGTATAGGTAGTGGCCACGTTCCTAAGGAAAAAAAGTATTGATAGCAATTGGGGCAGGTGGAAATGCATAAATTTTAACCATGAAAAAAAGCTCACAGTCATGACCCTTCATGATAAACATGAACTTGAAAGATCTGTTAGCTTTTGATTTTACCACCGTTTTGATCAAGGGCCCCCCTCCCCCCCCATCACATTTACATAAGTTGGGTTGTTTTGGCTTGTTGGGGGGTTTTTTTTGGTTTGTGGTTCGGGGGGTGGTGTTAGGGGGAATGGTAGATATTTTGTTCATGTTGAGAGCTGGCAACTAAGCACCACACAGCCACTCACTCACTCCCTCTCCACCCAGTGGGATGGGGGAGAGAATTGGTAAAAAGTAAAACTTATAGGTTGAAATAAAGACAGTTTATAAGGACAGAAAGGAAGAAACAAATAATGCTAATGCTAATAATAATAATAGAATTGGAACATACAAAACAAGTGATGCACAATGCAGTTGCTCATCACCCACCGACCGATGCCCAGTTAGTTCCCAAGCAGCGATCCCTCCCAGCGCCACTCCCCCCAGTTTATACACCAGGCATGACATCCCATGGTATGGAATAACCCTTTGGCCAGTTTGGGTCAGCTGTCCTGGTTGTGTCCCCTTCTTGCTGGCTGGGCAAGAGAGGCTGAAAACTCCTTGACTTAGTCTAAACACTACTTAGCAATGACTGAAAATATCAGTGTGTTATCAACATTCTTCTCATACTGAACGCAAAACATAACACTATACCAACTACTAGAAAGAAAAGTAACTCTATCCCAGCCAAAACCAGTACAGTTTAGAAAGAGGAAGAGAGAGCAGAATTTTCCCAAAATATCAGCCTTCTGACAGTATAACCAGGTAAGAGCTAGGATCATGAGCTGAGCTTCTACCTACCTTGTATTTGCCACAGCTTAATGAAAGAGAAATAAATTGGTGAAAAAGATCTTGGTCAGCCTCATCTGTGCAATCTTCCAGGTGCTTCTCCAACACAGAGTCTAAGGCTTTAGGGTACCTGCCAACAGACAAAACCCCCAAAATTTTCCACAGAGCATTACAGAAGAACATGTATTTACTAGAGAAATACAGGGAAATACAAGGAAGGTGAATGCACACGCACTCATCTGAACCAGCTATTTTAAGTAGCTTTACAAAGGCAATCAACGATTATGTCTTAACACAGATGAACAATACGCAGACCACTAGGATAAATAATGAGCAGAAAAGGTCATGCTAAACAGCAAACACCTGTACAAAGCCAGTAGGTCTGTGTCCATGTATTACAGTCATAACAAAATATGTAAGGACAGATCAGTAAAATAAAATTTGCACAAAGGTTAGGAGTCAGTTATTTTTACTCTATTTATTTGGGCAAGAATATTGTGCTTACTACACCCAATAAGCCAAGATCATAGTTAACATCATCACTCTACAGACTGCAGGTCTGTCACAGAAAAACAGAACTTACTTTCTCTCAAGAAGTCTGATAAGAGGAAGCATCTTTTGATTGAGTGCAGCCATTTTGGGGGGATTAGATTCAATCTCTGTACCACAGGAGATAAACTCTTCAAGAAACTTGCTAAAATTACAAACAATAGAAAAAGCCACCATTTTTTGGATAGTACAGTTTCCATTAACGTTACAAAGCACACTGCTAAACAGGTTAGGATTAATATGCATTACTTATTGCAAGTACAGATTTGCTCCCAGCCTGAAGTTTCACTCTGTCCCACAAGTACTCCCACAAGTGCTAAAAGCATGGCTCTTCTGGATTACTGAATGTTTCACTTTCAAAATCCAGGTTTGGAGCTAACTTAGGAACTCAGGAAAAAATGCTCATACAATGCTAATACCATTTTCAGGAATTAGTTGTTATTAAACCAGAAATGACAGTAGTACTGCAGAAGAAAAATAATCAAAGTCAACTCACGAAGCCAACAGGTGATCTAAATCCTTTTCCAGTGGTATACTCTGAAGAATAGCTTCAAGATGTTGGATGTAAATCTGATTCTGTGTCTCCTCAGGTTCTTCTTGTTCCTCTAAGGACAACACATAATCATAAAAAATGAGCAATAGTTTGAGAATAACTCCTTCATACTGATTAAAGCTAATAGCTTGTACAGGCACCATCATTTGGTGAACCAAGCACACAACCTGAAGACCACTGTAGCACTAACTGTCCGTGAGCTGCTAGCAATGCTTTATACCAATGACATTTAAATGCCAAAGGCTACCAATAAATTCAAGAATGCTTTGGAATGTTCCAGATGTGCTCCCACAACCTGTGTCAGGAACTCCCTACAGCATTTCTTGGCATGAATCTGGACCTTTTCAACAACAGAGCTTTCCCAGTCATGATTTGGCAGTTACAAGTCCACAGTGCAAACGGACTCAGTAGTGCAGACACAGGCTATTGCTGCATGCCAGTCAGCCTTGCTGTCCCAGACTGTTCCCAGGCACATTTAATTCATCAGGTAAACACAGATCTCCACTACTTAAACTACATACGGAGTACATGTAATCTACCTAAAAATGATTTTGCAGTACTACAATACATCTCTAAGAGTCAGAAATTTCCTACATGAAAATTAAGTTACTGCTGAAATAAAACATTTAAATCAAAGCGATATAGATATAACAATGCCTAAAATAGCCTCCTCTGTAGGGTCTGGGAAAAGAAAAAAAGCAATACACACACAAAAGCTCAGTCAGGTCTTCACATGTATTGGCACAGTTTTAATGAAGAAGCAACTAAAATTACACAGCTACAACACTGATCACAGCCATTTGTCCTTAGGACTCAACAAAATTGTAAAAACGTATGCTAACTTACCTGTATCAGTTTTCATGACAGTGCAAACAAGGTGAGGCAACAGGTAATGCAGAAGAGGAGAGATATCATAGTCTGCTGAAAGGCCTTGCAAAAGTGTTACCAGTTCTGGGGTTTTGCACAGATAATTAAATGGCCTGCACAATGGAACAAGGAAATAATAATAATTTAAAAAAAAGTATGTATGTTCATCTGGGTTACCAACACTTTCAAACCACACAGACTTCATAAGGATTCAACTGTCAGCATCAGGTAACAGCCGCATTGTAAACAAATGCTGAAAAGATTCAAGGGTTTCCACTTCCTTACTGCCAGAGGTTTATTGGTGCATTTAATGTCCAAGAAGAAAAAGCACTAACTGTTGCAGAGCAAGACAGACAGATTGATGGGAACGAAATACTACATATACTTCCAGAAGAACACCTGACTTGTGGGACCAAAGAAGTGGTGGTATAAAACCACTTACACTTCAGGTGTCAAACTATATGAACTCAAAGCCCTTCCACTGAAGGAACGGAACTTCTTTTTTCCAAGCTATTCAAATAACCTCAAATTTGCACTACCATTATTATGCCAGCTTCTCTTCCAGGATTCCCACTTTCAAGAAAACCTCTTACTGGCAGGGTTCGGTTTTGCACATTGACAGCAATCCTTTACTGAGAGAAGTGGCAGGAGAGGCACCAAAAGATGACAGACTCGCACCACTGAGACTCCTTAGCTGTAGTGAGCACACAAATTTTCGAAGTAAGCCAAAGAAACTTGGGAGCCCTTTGAAACGTCAAGTACCAAAATTTCAAATAAGGAAGTATCCCTTCAGTGAGAAGGATAAAAAAATCCAAATTATCAAAGTGCAGCCTGAGCTTTTAAAAAGTGGGAAACTCAATTCATGTAGACTTACTTCTTCCCAAGTTTGTCTCCCTTCTGAGTTTGTAGAAGTAGGTTCAAGCACGCCACGCCATCCCTGACTAACGAGGGCACTTTAGATAATGTCTTGCTTATCTGTAACATCAAGGAATGCACCAAGGAAGTCTCCACTGTCACTTTTACTGTCATCTGGCAGATTATCATGTATGTTGCAGCTCTGTAATCCTGTATAGAAGATTTCAAGCCCTAGGAAAAGAGATAAAGGTGGATTTTTAACACACACACGAATTAAAAAAAGAATCCATTAACATAAAAATAATTTCTTTCTCACACCCATGGAATTACACCACCTTCTTCTCCATGTGTTAATTTTTAAGGGATCTATAAATTCAACTTTGAAAAAGAAAAAGCTGTCATGCAGGGTGCACACACACAGAAGACACATTCACTAACTGCTGCTCTGTCTGTTAACAGAGCAACAATCCTGGAGGAAAGAGGATATTAAAGCAGGCTGTCCACCCTGACTCCATTTCCTCATTGTTTAGCACGACAAGTCTCTAAGGCAAAGAGGTTCATTCAAACTGTGTATCCAATTCTCACAGCTCCATTCCTCATGGAGAGTAGGAAACAGAGTTCTTACAGTGCTCATCTGAGGTGTGAAAAATCATTATTATTCATGGAGCTTCACCTGCCTGATGTTTCAAAGCATGCTAAGAGCAGTATGATACATTGCACGTACAATGGCCCTCTTGAATGTTATCTGCAGACGCATGTCCGCAGAACACAGTACACTTCATCACACAGGAAGGAAAACAAAGCTTCACGTACCTTTTGGATGTAAGGGAGCAGCATAGAGACTATACTGTCTGTTATCTTCTCTGCAGCTCCAAGAGCTGATACAATGGTGGAAGCATAAAACACAAGAAGAACTCTCAACTGAGCTGAGTTGCCAGGACACTCTGAAAAGACCTGGACCACAGAAAAATCAGTTGTTCAGACATCAAGAAAAGTGGAAATGCACATACGGCTTCCCCCCAAACCAGCAAAATCTCAGAACTCCAGCATGTAAGCTCTACCAGCTCCTGCTGGCACAACTCGTCATCACCTCCTCCTAGAAGCAACCCTCAGAGGTTACTGCTCCCCCTTGCAGACAAGGTAGAAGGAAATGGGTGCTGCTCCTCAGCTACTGTAGTTAATCATAATAAGGTAATCTAAATCACTTGTGATTTTGGTGTAATGCTCAAGACTGAGAACCGGACAGCTGAGAAGCTGACTGGTATATGTTTAATACCCCCTACTACATCTGTGAACAAACCCTGTTACTGTGCGTGCTTTGCTTAGTTTGACAGTACACGCATTCTAGTTCTCTAAATAATTGGAACTGTCCTACATCTTACCCTTCTGAGACTATAAAACTAGCACTCTACTTGACATTAACTGAAAAAACAAATAAATCCTCACCTTCTAACATTCTCAAATTTAACTTCTCATTAATATTGGAAGACATACTTTTAAAACACCCATGACAACCCCCCGAAAAGACATCCCCAAATTCAAAGCACAGTTACAAACCAACAGAAGGAATGATTTTATAAAATAAATTAAGACAATGAAGTACTTTGAAGCAATACAGTATCTTTAAGTAATACAGTATTGCCAAATTGTTCTGTCATGGCTCATTGGTTCTCAGCCACTTCCTTGCAAGAATTTCTGACAGACTGTCATCTATACAAATAATAAGAAAAGAAATTGTCATTGTTTACTAATAAATTACTCCTTTTATTATTTGATATGTAATTCAAAATATTAGTAAATAGCGGGGAAAACCAAGTGACAACAAACAAATAATTTTCTAGAATAAATGAACAACCTTCACAGATTTTGCCACCAGCCTGCAGATGAAATCCATGAAATCCAGGTCTTTGTAGCAGTGTGTAATGACAGTACCCCTTGCCAGTGGGACTCCAGGTTTCTTTACATGGTAAAAAACAGTAAAATTAGAACACTCAAGGATAAAGTGAAGCACCCAAAGTAAAAATTAATATAATCTCTAAATTAATCCTACCGATCAGTTAACATCATTTAAACTGAAATAAGTAATGGAAACCCACACACTTCTCTGGAATTTTTTGTATCTACACTAAGACAGGTGATAAAGAGCATTACATTTAATCTATATTCAAATAAACATATATTTTAGTAACTGACATATCTTCTTAGCAGTAGCAAATACTCGCACGTTAAAAGTGTACTCTGCCAAAACAGAGTAATTACAATCAAAGCTTTTTATAATTAGCTTTATATTTAAAGAAAGATGGCAGAAACAACAGGTGGACATCCAGGCTCCACCCCTGCAATTAAATCTTTCAGTACAGTTTTACAACTAACCACATGAACAGGTGGGCCATATTCATAAACCTAGTAACAGAGTCAAGATATTATTAATAAAGTCCCTCATGTTTCTCCCAGCTTGCATCTGTTAAATACTTCACCCTTATTGGATCCATCCAATGCCATTTATGAGTTGGGCTGCTTATATTTAAAAGTTGAATAACTCTCACAAAGAGTTTAGTCTCATGATATGGCAGAACACAACCAATCAAACTATCTTGATTGTAGAGATGGATGTGAAATCTAAGGAAAAAGCACATATATATCGTTAAAAATTATCTGCAAGTCAAAAAAAAAGACCCAGCCACGTTCTTCTTAGAACACCTGGTTTACTTGCTTTTAAGCAAGACATGATTGTCATACTGATTCAGACATATGGTCCACCTACAGTTGAGAATCCCAAGGTGGCTTCTAGCCTATATGTACTAGAGGAAAGAAACAGTGCTAGCTATTTTTTCCTCACTCTCAATAATTTTAGGTCCCTATAGGACTTAAGATTATCTTAGTTTCTTCTGCATAGATTTCAATATTAAACCAGACATTACAATAATCTAGTATGAATTTCAGTATAATACATATATAAAAAAAAATTGATTCAAAGGTTGTATCAACAAAATCACCCACTCCTTCATGACATGGAATATTACACTTTCTGCATCTGGATAGGTTAATTTATATAAATAAATACAACATCACTTCACAAAATACTTTGTTTGTTTTTTCTTCACACCTTCTTACATAACCCTGAAATAAGAATACTCAGCTCATGTTATAATACAAGGGCATGATATTCATGGTTCACAGCTAATATTGAAAATTAGCTATTTTACACAGCCCATTTCTAAAAGCATATTACATAAATGTCTCTCTAGGTCCTCTGCAAGATGGCTAGAGCTGGGCAAACTTGGTGAAAGCCAGGCAAGGAAATAATTGCTTTTATACAGAATATCATGACAGATCAAATTTTTCACAGAAATTTATCAAAAGACAAAAAACTAACTGGCAAAAAGGAACGTCTGGCCCCATAAAGACTAAGCTCAAATGGATGTTTTTAACATTTTAACCTGTATTTTCAGAAAACTAAAGTAAAATTATTCAAAATTTCTTTCATTGGGGAAAAAAATTCTGGCATTTCTAGTAGCCTTAGCTATTGACATGTAGGATATTCAGTGGATTACCTGTGAATCAGCCATTCAAGGCACTTCTGGGCTGGCTTAAGCATAAAGTAAGGGGACAGGTGAATCAGGAACAATGAAATATTCTTATTCAGCTGCTGATTTACTGCTTTAGACTGAACACTGCGTTCCAGGCCTTTGGATGTGGAACTAAACAAACTGGACTGGAAGACTTCAAATGAAGGATCAATCCCCATCAGCTCTTCTAAGCCAGTGCATCCTGTGGAAAAAAATGGAAGAATGCTTTAAACGCAGCAGTTTTATTCAGCAGTCCTACTCATCTACCTCCTCACTCGCATATCCAAGTTCTTTGCTGTACTGGTATATGTCATCCTCATTAAGCAAACCAAACCAAATAGTAAAAAGGTCTAAGTCCAAAACTTTTGCTACACTTAAAGTATTTCTTCAGCGATGAATAAAAAGAACATTAACAAGGATCAGCAGTGCGCTCTTGCACCAATGTAGGCCAGCAGCATCCTGGGCTGTATTAGCGAGAGCGTAGCCAGCAGGCTGAGGGGAGGTGAGCTGTCCCCTCCATTTGTGAAATTGCATCTGGAGTACTGTGTACAATTTTAAGCTCATCAGTAGAAGAAAAACATTGCCATCTGGGTGTGAGTCCAGCAGAGGAACACCAAGACGTTCAGGGGACTGGAAAATAACATACAAGGAAAAGGAGGAACTGGGTTTGTTCCATCTGGAGAAGAGAGAGTCAAAAGGAAATCTTCCTGCTGTCTGCAAGTACTTAATGGGACATAGTGTAGGTTACGAAGAAGATGGAGCCAGACTCTTCTCCGAGATGCACAATAGAAGGATGGGAGGCAACAGATGCGAGCTGGAACACAGGAAATTCCAAGTCAACATATGGATTGATTTTTTTTTTTTTGAACACTGGGGTGGTCAAACACTGGATCAGAGGTCCAATATTGGATCAGAGACCATAAAACCTCCATTCTCAAACTCAGCTGAACAAGGACCTGAACAACCTGCGCTAACTAGCCCTCTGCTCAGTTGGGTTAGTACCAAATGACCTTCAGAGGTCCCTTCCAGCCAAAATTATTCTATGATTTTACAGGGATGAAGCAAGCAAAGGTACCTCTTTGAATAAATTAAAATACAATATTCCATGTACACCACTGGAAAACCATTGGAATGATTTCTTTCTTTTATACAAGCTTGTAAATATTAATGGCTAAGCACAAAGCAGACAAACTCAGCTGAAATAAAGAAACCAGGCAGCTGGCTGAAATATGGGAGAAATAAATGATTACATGCAGCACTTCTATAGTAACTATTTAAGAAACTAAAAAATACTCTGTGTTGCATCAAAGACATATATATCTACAATCTTGTTACTTAAAACCGATATACGATATCAATCTTTCTGTTTTTAGAAAACAGCTTTCTTATTCAAGAAGTATCACATTCCTGGGTAAAGTTCTCTATCAAAAATGGACAGAGATAAGCACAAAGGCTATGAAGTGTGCAAACACAGCAATGGTTTCTGACACTTTACATTGTTTGTGGCCATAACGTTACCAAAGAACGGGGTGTCAGCACATGTTCATGAAATCACAGTGCTCAGGCTGGAAGGGATGTTGGGAGACGCTTTAGTCCAAGGGTCTGCTCAAAGCAGGGTTAGCCCTGAAATCAGACCAGGTTGCTCAGGGCATTATCCAACTGGGGTTTTCAGAAGGACGGAGAGCACAACCTCCCTGGACAACCTGTTCAACTGCTTGACTGTCCTCACGGTGAAAAAGCTTTTCCTTATATCCAGTTTGAACCTCTATGGTGTCAACCTATGTCCACTGTCCCCAGTCCTCCAGCCACGCACTCCTCTGGACAGCCTGACCCATCTTCCTGAAACCTCCTCAGAGGTATTGGCAGGCTGCTGTTAGACCCCTCAAAGCCTTCTCTGCTCCAGACTGAAGGAGACCAGAGACATTCCTCTCACCAAGCCCCTCTTACGGGGCAAATTCTCCAGCCCTTGACCACCTTGGGGCCCCCGACTCTTCCCAATCACCTCACCCTTCACGTGCCCAGAAATGGGCTCCAGGAGGACCTGCTCCCCGTTTTTCCCATGGACTGGGGTGATGCTGACCAGCCTGCAATTTCTTTAATTACCTTTTTGGCCTTTTTTTGCATACGGGTTTGCCTTTCCCGCCGGTCTTTCTCCAGCAGTTTTTTGGACAGACGATTTTTAAAACCGCTGGCGTCTGAACGGCCAAACTCACCGATTGCAAAAAACGTGTCCCTGTCGATGCCAGCAGCCTCCTTGCCGCTGAAGAGCAGCGAGGCGACCTCGCTGCGGCTGAGGAGGCTGGGATCGCTCTGGGGAAGCGCCAGCCGCTTCAGCTGCTCCGCCAGCGACGTCATAGCTTCGTGCTTCCAGGAAAGGAGCCGCCAAAGAAACCTAACGGAAGAAAACCAAAGCAGGCCCGCGGATAAGGCAGTCGCACGGAGACACGCCGTCCCCCTCTCCGCCCCCGCTCCCGGTGCAGGCCCCGCTGCCAGCTGCCCCTCGGGGGGGCACGCACGCGGGGATGGGCCGGGCCCAGCCGAGCCGGGGAAGAAGAGGGACAGCGGCAGGCGGTGGCAGGGGCCCCCATCCCGATCCCGATCCCCGTCCCGATCCCGGTCCCGGTCCCGGACACTGACCTGGCTCCGCGCCGCTCCCCGCCGGGCCCCACGTGGGCTGCGCGCGCCGCTAACCCGGAAGCAGCGTCTCCAGCGGAACGGGAAGTTCCCGCCCCTTCTCCTCAGGGCGGTGAGGCGGGAGCGCCCCTGAGGAGGCGCCGCCTGCAGGCGGGTCTCCGGGAGGGAGCCGCCCGTTGTTGGCCGTGGTGGCCGGTTTCGGGCGTCCGGGCGGGTGCCTCGGAGCTCAGCGTCCGTGTGGAGGCTCGGTGCCGGTGTGGGGCGGGGGCCAGCCTGTCGGTGTCGGGGAAGCAACCGGTGGAGGCGAGCAGTTGAGGTGTGAAGGCCGGCAGCGCCGGCGGGAGAAGCCTTAGTGAGGTGTCTGTGGCGAGGCGTGCTGCTGGCTTTGTGCTGACCTCAGCGAGGCAACAGCCCGGGCTGCGGGTGGGGGATCCACTGAACACGGTCAGCGTGTCTTAACAGTAAGGGCGCGCACACCTGGAGTTGTTCCACCTTGGGATTTTTCCACATCTGGAGCGAGTGGTGCTAGGGGGAGTGCAGGACTGCCATGACTTGAAAGCGACCGGGGTGTGTATGAGCTAGATCCCAGTTGCAGAACCACAGAACTATGTAGGTTGGAAGAGTCCTCTAAAAGATGTCTGATCTAGCCCCAGAGCAGGGCCAGCTTAGAGCAAGTTGCCCAGAGTTTTGTCCAGTTGTGTTTGGAGTATCTCCAAGGATGGAAATTCCACAGCTTCACTGAGCCTCTCATCCGAGGTTTGGTTATTCCCAGATTAAAAAGAAATTCCCAGTATTAAAAACCATGATGTCTCTCACCAGTTTGCATTGAAGGCTGCAAGGTTCTGCACCTGGAAGTCGATGCACAAAAGCCAGAAAGGGAACATGGCTTGTGACAAACCAGGAGAAGCCGGGCGGGGGGGGGGGGGAGAAAGAAAGAAAGAATTTCAGTTGATGTCAGCGGATGGACAAGATAATGCCAAATATAACAATTCCAGCACCAGATCCATAAAATTATTTCCATGTATTGTTGAGAAGCTGTATGGCTATGGCAGAAATAACAAATTTGTTCACATAGTAAAGCTGCCTTATTTGACAATCATTTAGCATAAAGTAGAAATACAAAAAGCTGGCAAAAGCTTAGGGTTGCAGAGAATTGTTTGATTGCTTAATTTTATCCGTGAGGAGTATTCACTGATTTCAACAAGACTCTTGGCTTGTATTAAGTTAAACCTTTGTAAGAGTGGGAGCAGAGAGAGAAAATGAAGCTGGATGTCTGACTTTGTGCCTGATTATATTTGCCGGTGACTTGTCAGAGAGCATGTATTAACTATATATCGTGTTACTTCTGACGTGGTATTATCTGGTTGTAATGATGGCAATTGCTGAGCTGTTATGGGTTGCTACCACTGCAGTTACAACAGTGTTAAGGTGTTTGGAGGATATTACTGATTTAATGGGTTTGCTATTATTTTTCTGGTTGTTCTAATACTGAGATTCTGATCATCTAGCAAATGAGCAGGCTAGGGGTGGTGCAAACCAATTTATTACACTTTTTCACATTCCCTGTGGCTTCTGCGCATCTTTTTCCTTTATGAAGCCTTCATGTGACCTTATTTTTAGCATAGTTTAAACCTGCATAGATATGCATGTTTGCATGTCTAAAAATACATAACATTAAAATCTGTAGACTTTGGAAAGGACAGAAAGCTGTTTCTGAAAAATAAAACTAGTCATTTTTTAGAAATGTGGTTCATTATTTGAATACTCTAGCTAGAAAGATAAACTAGAAGTTGTAAATGCTGAAATGTGTTCAGGTTTTCTAGTACTCCTATCCCACTCTATTCTTTCCCGTGGAGAGCTGCAAGACAGAGGTTTTATACCTTTGTGCTTTTTGTTCCATCCTTGTTTGGTTTCAGAGTAAAGCTGGGATTCCCTCCTGAGGAACAGAGACACCTTCTGCAGAGGGAAAAATATTCTCGATTTAATTCTAAAAAAGCGTTTCCTGGGAAAAATATAAAAACAGAAAGTCTATTAGGAAATATGCTTAGTTGGCTTTGTGATTACCCAGAGGTAAGGCTGAATATCACAGAGATTTGCTCCATGCTGGACTACAAAGAGAAGCTTTCCTGAACTTAAATCCAAGCCTGTTTCAATCAGTCCCTTTAGTTTCTCAATGCCTACATCATCACATAGCTAGTCTGTATGGGTGGAATTCTCATAGCTGTACTACAGCTGAGATCACCTCTGCTGATGGCTGCTGTTAAAACTGCATTTGACAGATTAGACTCTGTGTTAAAGAAATCTTGAAGTCTTAGAATATAAATTGTCATATGCTAATTTTTATTTATTATTTATTATTATTTATTATCTATATATGGAAAAAAGTGCTCTGTTTCAAGTGTTTTCTGAAAGCCTATTCACTCGTAAGCATTGGTGTATTTGAAAAGATTTGATTGAGAAATGCAAACGCTATTAAACTTTTCATGTTCTTTATGCCTGGGTAAATTTGTGCTACTGCTGGAGCAAATACAACTGATGTCTTTGTATAAATACAGACCTACTCTTTACATTCCTTTCCTTCCAGCTCACGTCACCAGCTGTGATATATACAGCTATATCTACCTTGGTAAGTAATGCAACCCAGTAGGAGGAAATTTGTAAAATGAAGTGGTGCTGAGGAACCCTCGTCATGCTGTGTGCATTTCAGAGGTTTTATGCAGACTAGATCTTGTTCTGCCCTGGACACCAAATTCCCATTAGGTGCGTTCCTGGAATGCATATTCTGGTTTGGTTTCATGTGTAGGCAACAGATGTGGAGGAACTTCATTTAAAGAGGAAAAAGGAATCACTTCTGAAACAAAAAAGGAGTGTTTGGTAGCATTCAATTGTAATATATGAAGATGAAGGTAAGGAATTGAGTACTACCTGTACAATTTACTGTTTACATAGAAAGTTAGAGAGTGTTTGTATTAAGTACTCTTAAGTACTCTCAAAAGGTTGTTAATTCATTTGCTAAGATGATGCTTCTTTTTCTGTCTTGTACCACCTCCCATAATCTAGTGAGCCACCATGATTTTGGATTGCTAAAACAGTTCTGAAGGAGATGAAAGAGAGCCACTTTCTGTGTGCTTCACCATCACTTGCTGATAGTCTTTGTTTGTTCCCTGACATTTCTCCATGCCATTTCTAATAGGGAATGTGACAGTGTCTGACATCTAAAATATGATCTGATTGCAGCATAATGAAGTAATATTCAAACCTTTCTAGGATATGCAAAGGAGACTATAACTTCCTTAGAGTGTATCAAGTTCTCTAACTTTTTAAGTAAAAGTAGGTGTTAACAGATGTGTGTGTTTAATGTGGGTATATGCATACTAAATAGCCTGTAAAATGATCTGTGTTCTGGAGCAGTGGCTTGAACACCTTGTAAGCCAAGGTAGTCTTATTTTCAAGGGATAGATTTTGTTTTGCTACTGGTTGTAGGAGGCATGCCAAAGTTTTGTAGTTTTGGAGGCTGCGCAGTTAAATCTGCTACTCTGAGCTAATCTGTGTCCTTTGTTCTTAATGTATGTATCTGCTCCCTGTTGGAAGTTTATAAGAATACATCTGTGGTCTCTGAATTTATAAAGTTACTGTAATTATCAGGAAGAACAGTGCTTGTTGTGTACTTTAAGGCTGCAGTAATGTATTTTTCTCTGTTTTCAATTTTTTCTGCTCTCTGTGACAATGCAGCAGTCACTGTTCACCTGTGGACATTCTGCAATAATGAGACAGTACTCTTCTGCAGTGTATACATTGATAAGGCCTTGAGGCCATTATTCCCTTGGCTAGGCTTTTGTTAGAAGCAAAGAGATTGGAGCCATTGTATCACGTCGCAATGCGAGAGAGTTAAGATTTGTTTTCCCTATCTACCCTTCCTCCCCTAAGGGCTTGATCTTTTTATGCTTACATTAGTGAAACTCAGGAGTAATTCTGATGAGGTCAGTGGAGTTACATGAGTGCACGGCTGATGTAACTGGAGGCAGAAACAATCAAGCATAATTCGGTGGTGGTTGATGTTACAGAGAATTGCAGTTCTCATTGCTGGAACAGGACTGAAGAGGGAATAATTCTTCAGTTGAACTGAAGGGCTAGAAGAAACTTCCTTGCTAGGCAGTGTATCAAGCACATCATCAACTTACTGACCACTGTGGCAGGCAGTATCATGTTTCCTTGGCTTTTCTTGGAAAATCTATTGCAGCTTCCCCCAGCCATAAATTCTCATGTGTAGCTGCATTCCAGATCTAATAATAAATAGATACCCTCTGGATGGGGTGGCAGGAAGCTATTTTGGGGGTTTTACTATATTAAAGGCTTTCTGATGTGGTCATATAAACTGAGGACTTCTGAATCAAAATTGTTGTAAAGGAAGCTTTTTAATATATATTCTAGATAAGAAGAAATAAACCCTGAATAAACAAACTAGTTTCAGCTAGGCACATGCAGAGAAAGCATCGGCTTGAAAAGGGTAGGCAATAGTCATCTCTGCAACTCCATTTGTATCCTCTCAAGGTAGGTCTAGTTTGTCCCAAAAGCATCAGGGAGAGTTAAGAAGACAAATGGAGATGGTGAAAAATGGAAGAAAAAAGCAGTCCTTTCAGTGCTGAGCTACTTGATGAATTGTGATTCTGTTTATTGTGTAAAAAGTCAACTAGAAAGTTGGATTTTAACAACTGCACAATTGTTGCAATGAAAATTAGGAAACTGTCTCTCATGATTGCTGTGACTGTGATAGTCCTTTGTCATGATTTAATATTTATTAGGCTGGGAAATATGATACTGTGTGTATATGTTAGCTGTTTATTATTATGAAAAGATAGCTGTGCCAGACAATCTACTGAGAGAGCAGGTGTCATAGATCTACTGTGTGGTAGTCGTGAGTCACGTTGTTTAATGCATTGGGAGAACTTGGTATTCGGAGTGTAGCAATGTCGCCATTAGGGACTTGGATGTAATAAGCAATAAGGAGAGTGTTGTGTACTAGACGTGTCTCATCTTTCATAGCAGTGCTGTAAGCAGTAAAAGAG